TCTAAATGTTTTTAGTAACATGCAAATCTTCTGAAAAAAAGCTTTTTAGCAAAAAGTTTCTTCACACCTTTTTTAATGCTTAAAATGAAATAATTCTAAAACATTTATTATGAGCTTCAACAGATCCTGATATGTTTTTGGAAAAAGTACTGTGTCCATTTCTTTTTCCATCTTGTTCACATTTTAATCATATTTATTTATGCATTTTATAGTTTTAACTTAGGTAACTTTTTCTAATAAGGGTTCCTTTATTAACAGTATTTAGTGCATTATAAAGCATTAGCACGCTATTAAATAAACAATTAACAACTGGTTAATAGTAATGTTAATATTAATTAATGCAATCTTGATCAGACACACCACCTGGCCCTTTGTCATAACCTTAAAGAGACAATGTGTAGTTTTTACCATTAATCTCTGGAAATGTCCATCAAAATGTTGTTGTAACTGAATTAAAAGATGCCCAGTTGATGAAAAATGTTGGTGGTTTCATAACATATAACCATAAAAAATGTGTTCTAAAATACATGGGAGCAGGTCTAAGTCTCTGGGCAACGCCATATTGGATGCCGTATTTACTGCTATGAAAGCCAGTGAGGACAAAATGCATATCCTGATTTGTAACTAACGGTTACAAAACTTTCACCATTAACCCTCTCAGGCTCAAAATAAGTTTTGATAAAATGACGAACAACTAAGTCCTTCAGGGGTACTCTGAGTTTAAACATGCTCATGAAATACGTTATGTGGAGAAACCAGGTAGGTTTTAACTGTTGCAAATCTGCAACGCCTGCCTCCAGAGGGTTAATAAACGTTCTTGTTTTACACATTTACCTCTTCGCTCGTCAGTGATGAAAGGGAATCTGATGCTCTTGTAAATTTGCTGGAGGTTGCACTCTCAGGGATTTTTGACCGTTGGTATGGTCTCACCTGAACACAAAAGTAATGCTTGCTTGCAGTCATTTAGGTATGTACTGCCCCCCTATCACCAGGGAAACTACACACTGTCACTTTAAGGACACTTGATAGTTAACAACAATGGGAACGTTAATAACGGGATCCTTTGCTTATTAATGTTTAATAATGAATTAAGTAAAGGAACCTTTATTATAAAGTGTTACCTTAACTTGTACCAAAATGCCTTTTCTCCTGGATTTGACAATTATGGAGCATTTGTTTTCTGATTTACTGCTTGTTTCATTTGCTTTAAATGATCTAATGAAAGGAACATCGATGGAGGAGATTGAAGCTTTTTACTAGACAGTAACACTGTGGTGTTTGCAGAAAAGGATTGAAGAGGGATAGTTTATTAGTCACTAGAAATTCTGTATCAGTTGAGTATACTCCTGTGGCTGCAGGACATCAGCTCTCCTCATCCGTGATCGGTATTTTACATTTTTGGAGTTTTAGGGAAGTGTGAATGAATGTAGAAACCTCTGACAGATCCTCTTCGAGCACACGCCTCTATAAAACCTAAATCTAGCATCTGAGCGTCACATTTAGCAGAAAAGCATTGAGGAAAACTCGTGTTCTCACCACATTCAAATGCAGTAACCTGGTTGTTCCTAGTGGGTGTAAAAAGGGGGAAAGGCGGGAAAGAAAACAACCTTAAGAATTTAAAATTGCTATAAATCATCTCAAGACACCCATGGCAAATTAACCCCTTGTAGGACAGCTACTGGGACCCCACTCTGCAGCAAACACGCTGGTGCTCTGTCACACACACACACACACACACACACACACACACACACACACACACACACGCCTGCCAAGGTAAAGGCACAGATGCTTGCTTCTTCATTTGCATATGAGACATTCGCTCACCTCACTAGAGACAAATAGCAGTCTTCAGCAGATTTAATCTCTGCAGTGATTTCACTAACAAGGCTGAGAAAGAGAAACTCACTTAGGACCGTTTTGGTGCAGCAGCAGGTGAGAGAGCCAGTGGCGTCCCCAAGGGGTGGCCATGGTCACCCCTAGAATATTGCTACCCCACAGGAAAGACCAGTGTTACTAAATCATGTTAACGTTCACTCAAACCATAAATTTATTTAACTTATTCAAGACATAAATGTAGAAATTATACTATTAATGAGTAAAGAAATAATCAGATTTTTTTTAAATGTTAATGTTTCTGCGTCTCACCATTTAAAGAAAGTTTATATATCCACAGTTTTTTGTGACAGCAACAGGTGAATAAAACTCAAAAGATGGGATTCTAAAATAAATTTTGGAATAACATTTAAATTAACTGAAATGTATTTTTCTGAAATGTTTTCAAATTTGAGTTAAGTGTTTTGGATAAATATTGTTTTTCAATAAAAAAACAGGAGCAATGCATCGCCACAGACTAAACGTTCCCAGAGCTACCACAAGGACCAATTTGGTTTGCCACCCCAAAAATTTCTTTGGCCCATCTGGTCACCCTCATCAGATTTTCTGGGGGCACCCCTGGAGAGAGCTGCCTAAAACTGGGATGAGAAGACGGGCTGTGATCATTTCTGCAGAACGCTGCTTTGTTTTAGATTATTTAATCTCCTGTGCCCTGAAAAAATATGACACAAACATCAGAGAATGGAAAAAGCATGACCTCAGACTCTGTAACCTGGCAGACATAATCAAATCATCCTGCTGAGGGCCCAGGCTCGTGTTAAACACCAGTCTATACATCATAGTGTACATCTAATTTAAGGCTCTTTGTAGACGTCGTTTTGAAATCACATTCCACTTTTCCCTCCCAAACAGCAAATTATTTCTACTCCCGCAGGACGTGTGATTTCGGACTGGAAGTTGGAGCAAATCACTTGCAGACTACTTCATGAGGAGCTTATTAATGTGAGTCCAGGGTTCCAGGATTCAAGCTGAGGCATAAACAACCTCCTCGTCGGTGGACAACGTCGAAACCAGCACCGGCTCCTCTTTTATAACGTCCACGCAGACATTCAGAGTCCGGTTTGATGCCAGATAGCAGGAGTGAAAAGCTGCAGCAGCAATGTGACCCATAATTAGGAACAGTCTCTGTACTTATGTAAGCAAGGTAGGCTGTAATTAATCCCAGCACAATGAAGATCCTCTCTGGAGCATGCTTGTTATTGGACGTCACTGTGGGGCCACTCTGGAGCTGCTTAAATACACAGCAATCAACGTTTTTCCTCCTCTGAAACGCCTTCCGCCAATGCTTCAGCACCGATTACTAAAGGTTATCAAAGAGCATCTATCACCAAGCTGTGACCCACATGAACCCCCTTCGTTCCCCCTAAAAGGTGCCTGATTCCCCCCTCATTAAAACTCCTGATTCAGGCTGTTTAGATTAAGTCCTCTGACAGTTTGAAGACAAATGAAGGGGAAGAAAAAGATGCTGCGTGTAGCTCCTTATCTAGCATGTATTAGCAGGGCTGAGAAATGGCGTTTGCCACACCACATTAGCCCTGCTGCCGGCCCGTCATCGCCTGCCATTCCCAGCAAAAACACGATCCAAATGCACTCCAGATGTCTCCGCCGTCGTCAGGCCGCAATAACTCACTGCCCTACGTTAATCTCACGGAGCATGTGATGGATTTCTGTCTGATAACATCTCACAGGGTTTTAGACGTTTTAGTTCCTGTAGCTCACCACAGCTTTACAAGAAAATAACAGCATCTTGAAATTTATATTTATGTATTTCTGCTCATAAATGTTCCTGTAAAATGAACAATAAAATAAATTATATTAAAACAGTAATATTTTACTGATTTTTAGTGAGGAAACTTGGCTTTGTCACCAGCTTGTAAATACTGGGGTTTATAAATAACAAATAATATAAAAGGAACCTTTTTCATCTGCGCTTTCTTGATGTTTTCTTGTCTTGAGAGTGTGCCGCTTAATCAGAGTTTTTGTTATGTGATCTGTGTGTTTTTATCATAAATTTCCGGATAATGTGCATTTAAATGTCACAAATCGTACTCTCAATACACGACGTGGCTTTTATTGGCTTAAGTGTTGCCAAAATAAATTGTAGATGGCGATGAAAAGATTATTGTGCAAAAAGTTCATTTATAGCAAGGAACACATCAGTTTTCTGTAGTTCTCCTTGCTCAGGGAACACTTTTCAGTTGATCAAACTCAAATTTAAAGGTGTTGAACGTTTGTTTAATTAATACGTTTGCAGTGACCTCTAGTAGGAATGAATGCCTTGTACGTCACCAAATGTTTCCCGAGCACGGCTGTGTCTGCAGCTCACCGTTCCCCCAGGGGATGGTGAAATGCAGAGAAAGTTTTTCACACACACTAGTGAGTGTGACAACTAGTGGGACTAAGTTGTACTCGAGGGGAAAAAAACAGCTGAGAAGCGCCTGAATCAGCACGGAGAATTCAACTGGAGGAAAAGTAGCTTCAGACGGCAGGGGTCTGATTTCCTGATATTTGGACATCTCGCCTCTGATTGGATAACAGCAACGTAACTCTACCAGGGACTCTGCCTGCTCTGCAACGTTGATGTTTTATCTCCACAAATGACACAAGCCTGGGGGAGCTCTGCTGTGTGGTAGAGTTGCTAATGCTAACGGTTAGCTTCTACTTTAACCGAGACGTTCGCTGCTGTTTCCTGGATGCTAAAACAACAGCCATCCAGCGTCAGTCATGATGGGTGAGTCCATGAATGTTAAGTGACAGTGTGACGTAGGTCTGTCAGACCTTTCAATTCCTAGAGACTATTTTCTATCAGAAGCTAGCGCAGGAGATAGGTGTAGAAGACTATTTTCATGTTCATGTTGCATGAAAAACTCACAGTGAGTGATTCTAATCAGAAATAACTATTAAAAATGTTTTTTCAGAGTTCCACACCTTTAAATCCCCACTCTTCTTCACACTCTTCTGCCTCCAGAAACAAAGTCTGCAGTAACGTTGCTGTCTGAAAAGCTACCTTTTTAAAAGCACCTTCAAACAGATAACTAAAGCATAACAGATCTGGGTTGTTTGGTTATGAACTAACCGGGAACATCCCAGCAAAAACACAAACATTTGAAAAATTAGATGAATTTATTTAGTTCAGATGTACATCTTGTAGCACAAACGATTACAGGCTCCTTCAGTCTTTTTGCATTTAAACCAGCTGATGCGATTTAAATTCATCTGCGTATCTTAAGAAAGCGTTTCTCTTGGTGATACGTGCTCCTGGTGGACAAAAACTTTACCAGTAAGACTTTGAACCAAATGAACCCAATTTGAACTGAATAGTAATTAAGTGAGCTAGTTTCTTGTTTCTTAACCTGACATTCGGTTTCCTGGAGAGAAGACTATTCACACCATGTGGAAAGTGCTTTCCTGTCTTTAAGAGCTCTCGCACTTGGAAATAAAATCCTGTTTGATGGTTCCTAATCACGAGATCCAAAACCTTTTTCCTGTTGGATTTCCCAGCCGGTTCCACCAGGATCAGTCCTCCTCCGAGGAGAGGTGGGCTCCTTCGTCGTGAACTTCTCTGTAGGCGGCCATGGGGCCACCGTCAGGAGTGTAGCTCCCCATAGAGATCTTCAGTCCTTCAGACAGTTTCTGGGCTGCCAGCTTGGCCTGCAGCTCCTGAAAATAAACACAACACAGAGAGAAAGCTGACATGAAAGGGCTGTGAAACAAAAACTCTCAACGTATGACTGATAATGAGCTTCAGTTTTTCAGAGTTTGGCTCTAAAGTCAGTCCTCTGGGTGTGAACTGGTTAGAGTCAGAATGCTGCCATCTACAGCGGGTGGAGGGACGTGAAGCTCACGTCTAACACATTATTTAAGGAAATGTCTTTTTCTGCTTCATTCTGTTTGGTTTTTTGTCTGTTTTAATAAGATCAGTGGGAAAAACACATTTAGATTGTTTTTAAATAATTTCTGAAAACATTACATGATCTGCCACCAGTGTTGAGAAAGTTACTTTTAAAAAGTAATTAGTTATAGTTACTAATTACTTTGGCAAAAAAGTAACTCAGTTACTAACTGAGTTAAGAGATTATAAAAGTAACTAATTACCAAGAAAAATAACTACTTACCGGGTAGTTACTTTTTTCATTAAAGAATACAAGAAAAATGGGTTAATTGAACTTAATTTACTATAAATTACTACAATAGTGAAATATAAATGACTAATGACTGGAACATAATAAAATGTATGTCCAAATGTTTTTTATAAACCTGAATAATTTAAATAAATAAGCACTTAACAGGAGGAACTACTAACAGGAACATTACACTAATCTAGACTATTAAAAGGTCACTGTGTGATTTTTAACAAGACCCCAATCAGTTAAAATTTAAAATTGCAAATAGAAACACCTGTAAAGGTTCCCGAGCCTTTAAATGGTCTCTCAGTCTAGTTAAATTACAGAAATGAATGAAAAATTTGCACAGCATTTTAAATTTTCCAGCTTCACATAATTGTGTGTTTTTAGTAGCATTTCTGTTGCTACTAATCTAGTAATGGTTAAATAAATAAATAAAATCCTTTAAAATGACACTAGAAGAGGCACAAACCTGATGGAGGACTTACATTTACTAACTTGGGTCAGACCCAACCACAGAAGAGCTGAAGCTGGGTGGTAAAGACACACAGGTAGTTCTAATAACACCTGAGCACCATGACGTCTGAGACTGATGCATCAGTGTTACAGCGGGACTAAAGACACGATCAGAAACAGGTTACAGCTGGATGATCTAGGAAGGTAGAATATCAGGACGTCTGAGCGGTGAACAGGTGAGCGGACCTTCGGGACGTCCCGCTGTCACGCTAAGAAGGGCATGGCTGCAGATCCACACCTGCAGCCGTAGACTAGTCATCACGTCTTCCTCGTTCTTCACGGGTCGTGACGCACTTGGATTAAAACATCTGCTTCTTTAGCTCCTGATCAGCTGATGACAACTTCAACACACCGCGCTGCTTAACGCACGCATTTCCTTATCAGTAACAGAAACGACGTTTTGATAAAAGAAGACGGTAATTCATTAGATTGCTCATTACAGAAAGAAATATTTTTTTAGTAACGCGGTTATTTGAAACGGCGTTATTCCCATCACTGCTAGCATGCAGTGACTGAGACAGTGAGGGTCTCCGGCCACCCGGCCAATCATCATCGTGTTTGTAAGTGCGTTACCGACACCTCTCTCTCCCTGGCTGCAGCTGAAGTGTGGCGGTCAGAAAGCCTCACACTGTTGCTCAACGTTCGACAAGCACATGGTAACACACAACCTTCTGTCTCCAGTAACGGTAACGGCGTTGCAACAGTGGGAAAAGTAATTAGATTATTCTGTTACGCAAAAAAAGAACGCCGTTAGTAACGCCGTTATTTTAAACGGCGTTATTCCCATCACTGTCAGTCACACATTGTTGGAGGACATATTTCAAGTAAAAGTTGAGTTGTCCTGTGTGTGCGTGTGTGTGTGTGAAGGAGAGTTTTATCTTCACTAACCTGCTGCTTCCTAGTTTGTTCTCTTAGGAGGACGGCCGACTCATCCAGTGACAGAAGTTGAGCAGGACTGTGGTGGAGAGGAGGGAGTTTGGCAGCAGTGATGTCATCCAGGTGTTTCCTGTCCCGCTCCTTCCTGGCCTGAGAAGAAAGAGGCGATGCAGTTCCAGATGACAGATCAGGTGACAAAGACCCCGATGGAGAAACGCTGTTTCTATGGAGAGGTCTAAAAACAGGGTTGAGAAGTTACTAATAAATCTTTAGAGCTATGAAGGAAAAAAGATGCACATCATTACACAATTTTATTAAATGAAATCTAAGTAAACCTACTGATTTGGTTTGAATTTTTCCCTTCTGGAGGGTGTGGATGTCTCACTCTTTTCCAGGACGCTAACGTAGTGGGGCTTGTTTGGTGGCTGCTTTCGTAGAAAGTAATTGTCTTTTACTCTGTGACTTTTTTGGTCTTGAGATTCACCAGCACCAGACAACGTGACCCCACCCAAGGCCTTTATGAGTTCACCCTCTTTTGTTCCATCAGAATTCACAGGAGTTTCAGCTGCAGCCATCTCCATGACTTCAACGGCAGCAGGTCTGGAGACACACTGGTCCAGCAGCGTGGAGTTGTCCTGAACATGAACAGAGACACATAAGGTCTCTCTGACCTGAGGAGGATTGCTTGCAGCATCCTGATGTTTTTTGTCCTGAAGTGAGGCCCCTGATGTGGCAGAGACAGCACGTTGCTGGAAAGCTTGCTGATATTTGGACTGTAGTTCTGTTCTGGCTGCAGAAACCAAACTCTGCCTCCTCTCCTCTTCACACCGCTCTTCAATGGCGGAACGAACTTTCTCCACAAAGTCTTTGATCTTGTTCCCTTTGTCCGGAAGAGTCTGTAACAGCTTTCTGGAAACGACACAACACCTGTTATCTAAAACAATTTTTATAAAAATGCACCTTAATGTAACTGATTAATAATACAATAATAAATATGAGCTACGTGTGCTTGATTTACACCGTTTCATACCCATAAAATTACTGATTGTTTCCTTGAATGCTTTTAAAAGTCTGCTTTATTTTGTGTCTGCTGCGTTATAATTCAACACCAACATTTTTATCAACAAAAAACCCGATCCAGCACAGAATAAAGTTGGATTTTTTCATGAAGTCTTACTTGTTCGAAAGAATTTTCTCCTGTCGCAGCAGCAGATCTTGGAGCTCCTCTTTGCTCTGATGTCTCAGGTCTCCAACATGTCCCTGCCTCTCCGTCCACGATGAGGACATCGCTTTTAGCCACGAGCAGCTAGCTAAACTTGATACACAAATGGGGCGAGCTTAAAATTCAACGATAAAAAGTATCCGACTTAAAACACTGAGTTTTTAAATCCCTTTACTATATATAAAAATAATCAGAAAGTGAGTTTCTCTCCCTCCACACATTACGTTTCAAAATAAGGTTCTTCTTCTTTGAGAGCGGAAGTGAAACAGTGGCGCTCTACCGCCCCCTATCGCACAGTGGTCAACGCAAACCCGGCCAATGGAGTTGCTGCCCTCTTCTGGCCACTACAGTCACTACAACAACAGAAATGAGCTTAACTTGCTTAATATATATATATATTATATATATATATATATGTATAGTTTTGTATATAAAGCATTTTTAAATATTTTTTAAAAGACTACTGTTGCCAGCAAATAGTTTTAGGGTAACACTTGTACTAATCTTTACCATAATTTATTCATTAACTGGAATTTACTGAGTTCAGTCATACATTTTACTGTCTTCTTCGCAACTTTGTTGGCTGACTGTGTATAAATGAAATGATAAAACCGTTTACAATTACATCTAGTTGACAGAAACTCCTTTTGTCTGCTGTTTAGCGCTAAACACACTTAATCAGCTTATCCTGAGTTATTTGAGCATATCTGCCTTTGTTGTGACGACTGCCATCAGTCAGAACTTTTCAGGCTTCAGTCTCACAGTTTCCACAGCTGCATTTCCTGTCCGGATGTTTTCCATCCACCGATCGAAACCCTTTTTAACAGACAATGGCCCCCACTTTGACCAAGAAACTACAGCTGTTTCCTTTCTAGTCGTTCGAAGTCTGTTCAGTTTAAAGATTGAGCTGCAAATTGGAAGTTAAGTTTAACTCTAACAAACTTATAGAATGTTTTCTTTGATAAATGATAAAAACTTTAAATTGTAAGTTCCTGTTGTTTGTCACAGTAAAACACTGTAATATTTAATTGTGTTAATCTATTATCAACTGATGACTTTATTCCAGATCACTGATATTTGAAAAAGTTTATGTAATTCAACTTTTATCAGTCATACGGTATGTGTATCTATTCAATCTTTAATCTTTTTTTCTAAATAATGGAAAACTTTTATGCAAATTTCAACAAAAGATTTGCACTGATCTCAAAAATCACATATTTAATACTTTAATGTAAAGTTTCTTTACCTGCAAATGTATTTTTGTAAATTCGAGATAAAAGACAATCTGCAACAAATACAATATTATATTATGCATTTATTATATTTATAAAACATGGTGGCAAATTGTAGTTACATCAAAATTGTGAGGTTTAATGTTTGCTATAATGAAAACATGTGCCTTAAGATCCTTCAAACATATTCATGGCAGTACAAACAACAACATGAGTGTTGGAGGAGGAACGGCAGTCCCAGTTAAATATATTAGCATCAAAATAACTTTAATCACCCTGTTGCCTGTTCACTTATTTATTGCCACCACCCTCAAAGAGTCAGATGTTCAAAGGTACAAAGCATATCAATAAATATTATTTACATACTGCCAAAATAGCAAAATATATTTATTTAAAATACATTCACTTAATATTTGTACAGAGAAAATATGAAATGGTGAAAATACAAACATTCTATTAACCCATGAACAGGAATGAATATTTATAACTTAATGATTAATGTAGTAAAAAAAAATATTTACACCCTTCTGAGAGAAAAATCTGTTTCCATAAACAGAACTGGCTATTTATTTGATTAAACAGAATACTATTTTAGATTTTTTTTGTGTCAGAATGAACACAAAAAAATGACTGTTTGTCCCACTGCTTCAAAGGTAATTTATGTGTCACTGAAGAGGATTTATTCCATTGAAAACAAGAAAAATCTACAACCTGTGAAATGATCTTCAGCTGGATGTAAAATTCAATTGAAAGATTGTTTAAAGATTAGTCTGGTAACAACCTTAACACTGGCAATGAGGTGGAGTTTGTTAATAAACCTCTTTCTGTTCAAAAGTTCATAAATCAGCAGCCTTGAAAAGCCAAATATATCATGATTTCATCCAAACAGAAACGGAAAATAAAATAAAAAAAAACAGGAGATTTTAGACCACGCTAACACCTGAAGCTGATTTCCTTTTTCCATCCAAAATAATTTATTTTTAAAGGTATGGAACACTTTTTGTCCAATAGGTTTGCAGTAGAGTCTAGTTGGAATTAAGTCGCACTCCGGAGGGAAAAACACCAGTACACCATTTCCAGGAAGCAGAAGTAAGCCACATCACAGCTGAGCTTGGAGTCTTATTTCCTGATATTTGGACCTCTTGCCCCAGATTAGAAAACAGCAATGCAATTTTACCACTGCCTTTCAACACTGATGTTTATCTCCACAAATAACACAAGCTTGGAGGAGTTCTGCAGGGTGGTGGAGTTGCCAATGCTAACAGTTAGCTTCTACTGGCCGAGACATTCTCTGCTATTTCCTGGAAGCTAAACCAACAACAGCCTTCCCCGTCGTGAGTCAAGATGGTGAATGCCAAGTGACAACGTGACGTAGATCTGTCGGGCTTTTTAAATCCTATAGAGATTTCCATTTTCTATCAGAAGCTAATACAGGAGATAGGTGTAGGAGACTTTTCATGTTCAGCCTGCATGAAAAACTCAGAGTGACCCATTATAATCAGAAATACAATTAAAATAATGGTTTTTCAGTGTTCCACACCTTTAAAGGTTATTAAAACGTGTTGGATATGCTAAGAATAATAAACTTTTTTATGAGAGTAATTCTCGTTTATTTGATGTTTGATTTTCAAAAGATGTCCTGAAAATTGAAACTGGATCATTTAAGTTTAAGTGCCAAATTCAAACCAAGTGCATTTATTTTAATTACTTGAACATGACTTTATCTGTTCCTTTGTGAAAATTCATAATTGCCAACAAAAAAGTAGCTACCAACCTAAACCAAAGACATTAACTCCCATATTTTTACTCTATGTTTATGTTTGCAGTCATTTCCATGAGCTTCATAAAAGGTGTGTAAACTTCTGACCGTCTGGGTGTTGTTTGAGAGGACATAGAGGACATAGAGGACATAGAGGACATAGAGGACATAGAGGACGAGGACTCCGGTTTAGTTGACTGTCTGTCTCCATCCACCTCATCTCTTCCTGATTGAACCAAACTCACGGATTCGTTCTCAGACGGGTGGTTGTAGGTTGGTGTACCGTTCTGTGCTGAGGTGCTGGACTGCAGGAAGCGACTGTACTGAACTGGAGTGTATTTCAGCAAACTGGACTCCAATCTGCTGGGTGGAGGGTTAGCAGGTTTGAACATCCTTAGCTGCATGGGCATTGTTAGTTTAAATGATGGATAATGGACTGGAGATGACTGGGACGGGGGTTGCGTTGGGGATAATGGCTGTGTGGATGAAGACTGTTGTATGGGTGATGAAAGAGAGGTGGGTGATAGTGGTGGAGGTGATGATAGAGGTTGCATGGAATGGAGGCGAACAGGTTCAACGTCACGTGCTTCACAGCTGCAGTTGCACAGTCAGACACCAGAGTTAGAAACCAGCCCCAAACACACCCGGATGCTTCTAGACACGTGGACGCCTACCTGGAGAGCAGATCACAACCTACTCCGATGTCTCTAGTTTCCAAAGCTTCTCGTGGCCTGTTCTGTGTGGACATAAAATACTTCACTTTGTCTTCTAATTCATTATTCTAGGAAAAAAGGGGAAACAGGGAAAAATATGTCAGCTCAGCTACATGCAAAGGACGGCGGTCACTTTGCATGAAAAGCGCTTCGATAGACAGTGATGCAAGGGAACCACACAGAAGCGGCTGAAACACCAGGATGTCCTTTACCACACCACACCACATCGTCATCAGAAATGCTAATTAAACACACCAGGAAGCGTTGTCTTACCTCACACTCAACTATTGCAATTCTGTCTAAAAGCTCAGAGATGAACATGTCTTTTTGGGCCACTTGAGCTCGCAGGGATTCAACCTGCAAAAGTCAGAAAAATAGGCTCTTAGAAACACTCACAGTAGTATTTTAGAGTGTTTTTATTTAAAGAGCAAGTTACCCCAAATCAAGTTTTTTTTTTGTTTTGTTTTTTTTGCTGACAAACTATATGAATGAGTGTTGAGTCCTGTAGACATGTGTAGTCAATACTTTGGCACTTCAGAGCATCTTTGTTCAAAATTTTAAAAATCTGCCTAAAACTGTCAGTGTTGTGCCGTCTTCAGGTAAAAACTCTGCACTGCATTTGAATTTAAATCTGTCATCTCTATTGGCTAAGAGGTACCCTATGGCGTAAGCTGGTACCATATGATGTCACAATGCAGCTGTGAGCCTGTGTGTATTTGTTAGCGGCTCCGCTTACTCGGTCTGCCAGGCAACAGCATTTGTTGCATTTTTCAAACAGGAAGTGGGAGTGGAGTACGACTCTGGTAGGGGTGACTTGCTCTTTAATCAGAATAGGAATTCACATTTTGCATCAATTCCAGGGCTTTAAATAGCTATTTTACCCCTCAAGTCATCCAAAGCACAAAATTCTCGTATCTTCTCATAGTTCGGGAATTCTGAATGCATGCAACTGAAAAAACACAAACAACAAAAAAATATCCTCACTTCCTCGATCATTCCTTTGACCTTCCTCTGCTGACAGAACACCATGTCGTTTAGGTGTCTGATTCTGTCACGGAGATCCTCCGTCTCACTCTGCAGGTCTTTGCATCTAAAGTAAACACATCATTCACATGCAAAAAAATGCATGTAATATAAATGTATATTTTTATCATTATTGTTTAAATGTGAATACAAAATAATCCGAGTTCAACAGTGCTGCAATTACTGGTGAAGAAATAGTAAAACTCAAACCTGAGAGGACACAACTTTGTACCTTTTGGCTGCAGCTGCATCGGTTGCGTCTGCGAGCGCCAATAAACGAAGACGCTGTTCATTTTCCTGCAGCTTCTTCTGGAATTGAAGCTTCTCCTGTGGACATTATTTTTGTTTTCTCAGTTTTGGTTTGGAAACATGGAGGAATGTAATTCAAAATCATCTGCTTTTTCTGCCCTAAAAACAACATAACCATTGTTTATCTGAAACTGCAGCCAAATAAACAAGTGAGCGCAGGAATTTGTCATGGTGATATTTCCAGCTTGCTGTGTTTATCTGTTTGTTTACTTGCTGATGTCATAGAAACAAGCATCGTTTCGGTCATTTCTCAAAAGTTTTCACAACAAGAACTGAAGCTGAGTAAGTGTCTGTTGAGAATTCATCATGCAAAAACAAACAAACAAAAAAAAAACAAAGTCCAGTAAGCTTTGAACCACCTTTCCCATACAGTCCAGGAGACGCTCCACCTCTAAGATCCGTTGGTCTCTCTCTGCAATCTTGACGTCCGCGATCATGATGTTCCTCTCCGCTTTCTCCAGGCGCCTGATGTACTCATCGAGTTGAGCCTGAGTGGGAAGAATTACTCCAATAACTACATAAAGAAGCAATGACCTTAATTAAAGTATTTCCTGCAAATTTCCCAAAATGTGATAAAAATCAGAGCCTTCAAAGCGTCTGAGGTAATCCCAGACCATCATTGTTGTCCAGATGGAAACGCGTATGGTATTTGTTGTCAGTAACACAAGAGGAAGACTCAAAGACTGCAGACCTGTAGGTTTTCTATCTCTTCTCTGTGTTTCTGTTGTTCTTTTTGCAGCTTCTCTTCATATTCCCTCTGAAGTTTTTCCGAGAGCTCCTGCAGAGCCAGAGTGCTGGCCTCCCGTGAAGACTCCACCTGGACGATCCACAGCACAGCAAATTCAGGACAACCCTCAGCAGACAATAACATATTAGCACTGGAACAGATGCAGATGCAGCTACTGTGTGTTCCTGCGTTGTGCTGAGCTCAAACGTTAGCAAACCTGCTGCATCAAAGCTTACAGCGAGTTTAAGTCAACCTGGTTCAGAGAAATTTCCCATCTGAAACATCTGTGTGTTTGACATCATGCATCCCTACCTCCTGCAGATGTTTCTGTGGGTTTGTGTGAGCGTGCACTAAAGAGCTTATGTGGACAGATTACCTGAAGTCTCAGCGTCTGGTTTTCAGCGTGCGCAGCAGCAAGCTCCTGCTCCTTGTTTTTGAGCTTTTCCTGCGCTTTATCACAGGTGCTCCGCAAACTCTTCAGCTCCTCCCTCGTGTCCACTCTGTTCTGACAGTTCTCCAAAAGAGATTTCTGCAACACAAACGAATAAATGAATAAATCTCTCTGCAGAGGTTACTTGTTTTATAACTGTTGTGATTTGTCACCTGCAGGCTGAGGTTTGCAGATATCAAAGAGCTGTTCATTTGATCAAAGCTCTCCATGGCTGCCGTCCGGACCTTCACCTCTGACTCTAAACTCCTCCGGTGGGAGTTGGCTGCCTGCAGAAACAGATTTCACATTTATTCACGTTCGACAGCTGGGAGTTTGATGAGTGACTCCTGAGCCTCCAGCTTTGAGTTTGTGCATAATCCAGTACCCTGATTTCCTGTGAGAGCTTCTCCACTGATTGATGCATCCCTCCAAACTGCCCATACATCCGCTCTCTCACCTTCTCCAGAGAGTCTCTCACCTGTTTACAGAAACCGAGAACACACTGATATCATCAACAGAAACCTAAAATTCCTGAACCTAACGAGGTGATGTGAAAACGAAGAGGCCTCGCTCAGACGCTTCAGTTTAGACTCACCTCTCTGATGTACCTCATCTCATCATGCAGGTGACTGACCGTCCACTCTCGCGCCATAAGTTCCTGCTGCCTGTCCGAGCCCGTCCTCTGCACAACGCCATACACTTTGGGCCCATGGTGCTGCAGCAAGGTCTCTGACACCCCACTGGTTGTGTCACTGAGGTTCTGTGAAGGAGACAGGATCACACCGGTCAGGTTTCCATCCACTGAGAAAGTCCTACATGAATGCTCTGTGCATGCGCTTGCTAGCAGGCAGGAACCTGGTAGCTGAATGTGCTTGGATGCACATGCTCACATATGTGCACTTATAGTTGCCTCCAGCTCTGCTGCAGGTGAGCTCTACCTATAGGAGGCTGGTGAAAACAAGCTTGAAAAGGTGCAGAGTGCACCAGTGGTGTCATGTTTCTGCAACCTAGTACATGAACTCCTGCCAATTCTATCTATTGTACTTCAATCAGCCAGTGAAAACAAATGCACACCACGGGCACAGAGGAGCACTTTGCCCATGCTGAAACTGAAAAACAAAAGTGGTGGGTGCAGATAAATCATTGAGCAGTAACTTGGATCATATGTCTATGAATTTTTCACAGGCCTGTGTGTGTTTAGAAAAAGGAAAGAGAAAAAGTTTCTACTGAAGGACGAAGGCAATATATGTTACCATTACTGACTAGATAAGTCCTAAACTTTAAATTCTAGCTGCAGGCAATAGGGCCTTCTCTAAGCATCAGCTGGTCCATCCCAGACATGGACCACAAGGATCCAGCCAAAAAAAAAAGGGGGGGGGGGGGATGAAGGTTATTGATGCTTGGAGGAAAACTCAAAAAGCTTCCTGCTGATGACTTGGGCAACTGAGGAACTGCAATGAGTTTATTTAGTGCAGAGACTTCAGACACTTTGGTCATTTCAGGATTTTTTTTTTTTGCACATGTCAAAACATGACCAAATGAGAAAATGAATCATGTCCACTGGCTGTTTTTATTGCTGCTTGATTATTTTCATCATGGATTTTAAACGAATGGTCCAAATACTAAGTTCCTCTGACCTCAGTTTGGAAAAACAAAGATCGGCGATGATTAGACAAACGAGCTGAAGGCTACTCGCAACAGGACCGGTTATATCTGTTGTAAAACAACTCTGATCTTGTGAATGTCAGTTCTTCATGCAATTTAGAAAACTTTTACATTGTCATCAGTTTCACCTTCCAGCAAAAATATTTCAAAATTCCATCGACAAATGTAAAAGCTAAAAAAAGGAAAAGCTATCTAGCTCAACCACTAATTTCCGCTGCAACTAAACATTTAATTTTGTGTAAAAATATATTTAATGTGAAATGTAAAGCTGAGGAAATGCCTGCATGAACTACAATTTGAAGATTTGGGATGGTTTAATAATGCAATATTTCTTCATCCTGACTAGCCATTAGCTTATCAATCCAGTTTGAACGGATCTGTTTTTTTTCCAGACGTGTTCACAAAGCAGATAGACATTAATTGAACGCAATATTTTAGCAGAACTGAGCTTCAAAAGATCATAACCAATCTTTTAATATCATATTTCTTTTGTCTGTTCTACTTTCGTTGAATGAAAGGTTTTTTTCCCGTTGGCCAGTATTATGGGGAGAAAACAATTTCAAAAGATCTGTGTGTGTTGCTGAAATCTAGATGCACACCTCAAACATGATCCTCCAAAACTCAACTGTCTCTCAGAAGTTTTAGTATCATAGGAAAAATACAACGTTTCACAAGAGTTATTTGTTTTTCTTACGTAACCAGATGCTTTTTCTGGGGTGAAACCTGAAACATTGCAGTTTCAGTTGTACCAGTGTTTTTGACGGAGCGATGCTGTTGATGAAGTTAAAGGAAGCGGTGCCCTGACCAATCACAAGCTTACGATCTCCCATCACTTTAGACGGATAGTTAAAATTTCGGGCATGTCTCTGTCATCCTCTGATCTTGTTGGAGAGCACCTGCGCCGACACACAGGTGTTGCGTGTCTCCATATCGACGTAGACAGAGAAGCATAAATCAGGCTTAATATCTCAAGGCATAAGCAGTGCTGGATGACTTTTTTCCCCTCTTCTCCTTGGGCTGTCTGTCTGTCAGTGCTCAGCGCGGGACACGCCTCATGGACAAGAATGCATCCTCTGTGCAAGATGGGGTTGCTGCCATCACGAGGCCCTATGCATTGGCATTGCGTGATCTGTGTGTAGGGAGGGTTGATGCTGGCCATGAAACTCATGGAACAGGAGTTGGGGGGGGGGGGGGGGGTATTATTGCTTAAAAAATGGGCTGCAGTAACTACTGTTGACCACAGGATGTCACTTGTACAAATTGTATCTTTAATCCTCCATTTGTTTTTAATTTTATTATCTAATTGTAGCAGAAATACAGCTTTTGAAAATCAAATGTTCAGAGGCAGCTAAGGCGGGAGATTTGTCATCTACCTGCATTTATTTCCCCAGAAGATCTTCAGGATGTCATTAATAACATGAATATAATGTTTATGAAATTCTCGAAGCACATGCACAGAAATGTGTGGTTTTATTACATCAGCAGCTCTTCCCATTGATTATTCACCCGGTTTAAGTGTCTGTCTACCTGCTGAGGCGACTCCCTGCCTGCCGGCCTCTCTCTGAGGATGAACCCGTTCTTCTTCAAGGCTTCGCTGGCATCCTTCTCTGTTTCGGCCTGCAGGCAGAAAATAACAAACATTAATAACGAAACGTGGATGATTTCCTTCAATCCAGGTCTGAATTATGCACACGAATCAGGGTTTCAGTTGTTTGTTCTGTTATTTTAATTTGCCTTTTAAACATTTATGACGATTGTTTTAAATACCTCACTAGCTGTTTTTAGTTATCTGGGTTGAGGTTTAAGGTTAAAAAGTACTTCAGGTTAGTTATTACAACAGAAAATATTTTTACGTGCTAAAGTTTAAAGAGGGATTTTATTTTTGAACAACGCTCTCCAGATTATGTCACCTTTTGCATTTTATCTTTCGATTTAAGACATTTTATACAAAAATGCAAATGAAAAAACATGATTTTTTTCTTCTTGAACTGTGCAAATGTTTTATTTCTCAGAATTTGTGTGTTTACTTGTGAGGAAGAAGATTTATTGTTTCACGGTGACTCAAATTGAATGAATATTTGGAGATCTCTTGATAGAAAAGTATTATGTTACATAATGACAGTGCTAAGAGGCACTTAGTTTCTTCACCGTTGTGTTGCATAGAGTAGTAAGAATGGAAAAGTAAAATGACAAATAAACAGATAGAAATTTTCATTTTAAATATTGTATCTGTATAATGTGTATACAAATATTGAAAGCCTTAGAATAAAGTCAAATAAAATCTAAAACACTATAAAATAAACAATGTTACTATAGTATTTTATTCAGTAAGTAGTTCAGTAAGAATCTTTTGTGATAAAAATTTTAAAACTGTAAAAATATATGATAGTAGTGTTTGTAAGCTTATATTTAAAAATACAATTTTCTTCTGTTACTCCTAGCTGTGTTTTAAGGCAAAGTTAACTGAAAAAAACATTTTTACATGTAATTTTATAACAACTTGCTTTTTATGTAAGATCTAGTTCTCTGAGTTTAAGGGGAGGACTGGGCAGTTGTTGCTTGCTTTTAGCACCCCCTAGTGTCCATTTAGTAGAACTGAAAGCAAAACCAATCTTCTCACTGTGAGTTTGTCTTTTTAACACATTAATCTGAAAGCTGGAATGTCTCCTCAGCCTTCATTAGCATCTAAAGGAGCAATTCATCACTACATTAAACAGATCATCATGATCTAAAACATGCAGGAACTCGTGCTGGAAGCAGACTGCAGAGCCAGGCATGTCAGCTCCAACAGAGCAGACCGGCACTCTGAATATGCAAATGGCGCATTCCGCCCACAAAGGGCGGTGGGGGTCTGAGTGATATTTAATTAACCCTGTAAAGGTTCGTGTTAGTACAGTGCCCGTCTGGTGACATTGAGGGGAAAAAAGTAACTCGTGGCCACGAGAGACATAATGCATTCCCACGAGTTATTAATACATGGCCAAGAGAGACTTAATGTATCTCGTGGCCACGAGTTACCTTTTTTTCCCCTCAGTGTCACCAGATGGGCACCGTATGTTAGCACATACTGGCTCAAGAAAATATTTTTAAAAATATGAAAAAGTTGCAAAGTGTCCCTTTAACATGAAGGTAAAATGGGAAAATAGTCTTCTACCCCTTTTTCCTGCATTAGCCACCGATAGAAAATAGACAGAAAAACACTTGGTTCAGAAAAGCCCGACAGACAGTCACACTGTCACTTAACATTCATGGAGTCACACGTTGACTTGAGACAGGGAAGGCTGATGTTGGTTTAGTGTCTGGAAGGGAGCAAAGAACGCCTCGGCTATATGAGCTAACCGTTAGCATTAGCAAGTCCCCAACACAGCAGAACTCCTTCAGGCTTGTGTTATTTGTGGAGATAAAACATCCATGTTGCAAAGCAATTGGAGTCAGTGGTAGAGTCAAGTTGCTGGTGGCCAGTCCAATGCGAGATGTCCAAATATCACAAAACAAGGCTCCAAATCCTTCTTCCAACTCCTCTGGCTTGCACAAGGTCTTCATTTATACTAGAGGCCACAGCAAATGCATTGGAAAAACAAGTGAACTTTAAGGTGTATGCCAATTTCTATATGTAATGTTTTCAAGGATTTAAGGCTTAATTTCACCAATTTCCTCGACTGTACCAAAATAAAATTCAAATAGTAATCAGTAGTAATTATTCAATCTTATTTTATTAAGTAATCAAAGGCAATCTAGCTGAAACAAGATTTATGGTTGATCTCAATCAAAAAGATTTTTTCAAGTAGAAACACAAATAAACTAATTATCATATTTAATCAGTTAACAGAGATATTCACTGAATAATGAAAATAATGGGGGGGAAAACATAAATCAATTTCAGCAAAACATTATATAACATAACTTCAGGGACTGATATTTTTTAAGTTAAGTCAACATGTTGGATTTACAGTGCAGGTTTACCAAACCAGCTTGTTTGCCAAAGATTTAAAATGATCATTTTTGTTTTCACGTATCTATTACAGCAACCGCCCTTCTTCTGTTTCACCTACAAATTGTCAAAACACTGCAGACATGCTGCAGGCCAGCTTGTGTTCCTGCATCTCTTCAGTCATCACGTCAGGTTGACAGCTTCCAGTGATGAACCAAAACTGGTTTCTTATCTCAAGCTACGCTCTGCGTAATTTTTCATTTTTGTAGTGATACGAATCATTATATAAACTCTTGATTTGTGCAGATCCTGTAAGGTTGTTGACTCCTTTGATTGTGTTTTTGTTGCTTGGACAAACTGATAATTGCCTCAAAATTTGACTGTACAAACATTTCTACCTATCTTCACGCCCACTTGCATGTTTGTATGTGTGCCATTATTAGATAGGGTCTTTAATACTTTGTTTTGGTGCAGTTAGTTGCAGTATTTTGTTTCTCAAAGTGCCAAATAAATGAAACCAACTAACAAGCATTCAGAGGAGGAGGCGACAGTCTCTTAGAGATATGAGTGGGGAGGGACACGGACAAAGACGCCAGTGTTGTCTCTTGGACTGGGCCGAGCTTCACATTTCATCAGCACTTAATCTACAGGAGGCATGCTGCTGGGATGCAGTGGCGGCCCGCTAAAATGCCGATGTGAATTCCAGCAGATGTGGGGAAGAACAGGCGTTTTCCTGTTTGTACACTAATGCAGCTCACAGCTTTATTTGCCGCCCATCAACTTTGAATTTTACAGTAGTGGCGTTTGATCACACAGAGCAGGTGGACTGTGTTTCCACACAGTACAGAGTTTCCATTGTTTTAGAGGAGCCAGCATGTTTGACATCAGAGAAACCTCTTTGTTATTATCTCTACCTTTTGAGGAACTGAACTCAGCTCCTACGTAAAAGTTGCGTTTGACGTCACGACACAAAGACCCTCTCATGCAGCTTATCAGGCTGAATCACATTCTCCCCGACGACACAGACAGTCATTAACGAGACGAAACCCAATGCTGCAGGTTTAACAACATTTTTCAGCTCAGCATCTGTGTCCTCTTTGTGTAGGGTGGAGCTGATGTATACCATCTCATTTGGGACAAAGTAACTGGCTTGGGTTCAAGATGAGTCAGGTTGCAGGACACACCCTTTCTAATTTAGCTGTGGATTTGCTCACTTCCTCCTTCCCTGATTAACTTCATAACTTCCTTCTGGAGCAAATCAAGAGACCGACCTAAAGTGAAATTGTGTCAATGATCACAACGAACAAGAACATGAACACCTGAGTGTGTAGGAATGCGGGTTAAAGATGAAATAGTTAACACTTGTTTATGTCATGGTCTGAGGTTTGTGGATGCCAATTAAAAACTACTTGCGAGTCCTTAATTACAGGTGGGCGGTGCCAAGGAGCGGGCAGTGGTTACTGATCCACCATCAACCTGGGTGGGTATAAAATGTCTTCCTCCAAATCATGTGTAGAACTACCGACCTATCTCTCTCCTCCCTTTTCTGTCCAAAATCATTGCAACAGCGGCTTTCAAGCAGATCACAGAATACCTCTCACAAAACTGTCTGCTTGACCCTTACCAATCTGGGTTCAAAAAGGGCCACTCCACTGAACCTGCTCTGTTAGCAGTGACCGAATCCTCAAAAGAAGCTAGAGCGACTGCCAAATCCTCAGTGCTTATCCTGCTCGACTTATCGGCAGCATTTTACACCATCAACTATGGCTTCCTTTTGTCCACACTCTCTAGCATGGGCATCACAGAGAAAGCACACGCCTGGTTTGAATCGTACCTCACAGGGCGATCATTCAGTGTATCTTGGCTTGGACAATCCTCTACTGTGCACCATCTTGCCACAGGAGTCCCCCAGGGCTCTGTACTAGGACCTCTTCTCTTTGCCATATACACCACCTCACTGGGTGAGATCATTCGATCACATGGCTTCTCCTACCACTGCTATGCAGATGACACCCAGCTCTATCTGTCAGTTCCACCGGACGATCACACTGTCTCTGCACGAATATCAAACTGTCTCTCTGACATATCAAAATGGATGAAATCCACCATCTCCAACTCAACCTCTCTAAAACAGAACTAATTGTCATCCCAGCAAAACCATCCATACAGCACAATATCTCAATCAAAATGACTTCTTATCTCTGGCTCCTTCAAAGGCAGTTCGAAATCTGGGTGTTGTGATTGATGAACACCTGACCTTTAAAGATCATGTTGCCTCTGTTGCTCGTTCATGCCGCTTTGCGCTGTATAACATACGAAAGATCAGACCATACCTAACACAACGTGCAACCCAGCTCCTGGTGCAATTTACTGTCATCTCCTGCCTCAATTACTGCAATGCTCTTCTAACTGGTCTTTCAGCCTGTACTGTGAGACCTCTTCAAATGGTCCAGAATGTAGCGGCGCGCCTGGTCTTCAATCAGCCAAAAAGAGCACACGTCACCCCTCTGTTCATTGAGCTCCACTGGCTACCGCTAGCAGCACGCATCAAATTCAAATTGCTAACACTAGCATACAAAGTTCGAGATGGTACGGCTCCCATCTACCTGAATCCTCTTGCAAAGGCTTACGTCTCGGCCCGGCCACTCCAGTCATCACAGGGTCGTCGCTAGCAGTGCCTACACCACGCTCAGGACAATCCAGACTCTTCTCATGCATCGTTCCACAAATGTGGAATGACCTTCCAAGCACTACCAGAACAGGGGCTTCCTTTTCAATTTTCAAGAAACCCTGCTCTTCAGAGAGCATCTTTTAAACTAGCACCCTCCCTGCACCCGTCCCCCCTCTCTACTGTTCACTCCTTTTTCCCTAGTCTCCATGACTGAAGTCAAGTTGTTGTTGTTATTGATGTTGTTAGCCTCAAGGGCAATTTGCCGATTATCTCTTGTAAGTCGCTTTGGACAAAAGCGTCTGCTAAATACATAAACATAAATATAAAGGGAGGAGTGAGACACCTTCACCTTGCTGGATGATGACTCACCTTGGGTACACAACTCAAACCTGAGTAGCACTTGCCTAATTAATCCTACGTCTCAAGTACTGGTTTCTTGTGGTCCTCCCAAGTCTCTTTGTTTCTGTTTCCCTTTGCCTCCAGAACACAAGCCTACGCTTACCACACCACCATACTTCCTCGGATCTCACCCCTGGACCATGCCTCGCTCCTCATACCCAACTGACCCTCTCTCCACCGCTCACCTGCCCCCTCCTGTATCCTGCTCCTGAGTTCCATCGAAGGATTCCTAAAAGTCTGGTTACCAAACTCGGACCTGACCTCCCTTCCCTCAGGAACTTGTTCTCCCCGTAAGCGTTTTATTCATCTCCATCTGCCAACAGTTACTGACTCGTGTCTGTTTCTAGACCCTCTCCCTCGGACCGGCAGATAGCTGAGATCTTCTCCTCCCTTTTAGATGGTGCTCCTTCAGTTAAATCAACCTTTAGTTACGTTTTACTCGCCCAGTTGTCTCGATTTTCTGATTCTGTTTGTCTTGGGTCAGAAGAATCCCCCAAAACATGACAGTTTACCGCACACCTGTTAAGGTAAAGAAACAGCCGCAAAATACCAGAAGCCTCTGAGCTGGCTCAGGAACTCGTCAAGATCGAAATGATCAGATAAAACTGTGGCTTAACTTTGAACCATAACAGTTGAAAATCTCCTGGTTTAAGTGCACCATTGATGGTCTGCTTTCATGGTTTGTAATAAGATTCACTGAATGTATGTTTTGCTAAAGTGAAATTCAGCTAAAATTCACAAATATAAACTAATGATGTAATGGGGAAAAAGGAGAAGGAAAAACTGAGTTCAAGTGTGTGTGTGTGTGTGTGTGTGTGTGTGTGTGTGTGTGTGTGTGTGTGTGTGTGTGTGTGTGTGTGTGTGTGTGTGTGTGTGTGTGTGTGTGTGTGTACACACCTGCTGTTATGGTTGATTCACTCAATCAGATGAGGACAAATAAAAACAACGGTGCACTTTTGGAGGTCAGTGTAGATCAGTGAGTATTTGACCTTTGACTTTTAGGTGATGCACATTAAGTGTTGTCCGTTGAGATGACTGAACAGTTGCAGAAGCTGCAGACTTGCATCATCTCCAAACACACAGCGAGGTATCAACTTTAGGCTTTCCCCAGTTCTGTTTTCATTTGTATCAACACCAGAGGGGAAAAACAATACCTCTGAGATAAAAACTCGTCCCTCTAGTTTCACCGAAAAGTGCATAAAGCTTAGCGACGTTTATTATTCTTGGCTTTAACTCTAAAAGAAAAAAGCTTTGCAACAAATAAAAAAATGCCCAGATGTTTTAGAGCCTCTCCAATTCTTGCAGTAGATTTAAAGAAGTAACCCCCAAACAGATGCAGGAAGAGCATGTAAACCCCTCACAGGAAGGCCACAGCGGTCATTTTAACTGGAAATGCTTTAGCTGTGAGGCAACCTTTCAAAACACCAACACTTTTCACCCTGACTGCACAAAGTCCAGGAAAGTTCCCAAAAAATCCACAGATCCTCTCATTTACAGCTGTACTCGTGTAAGGTACGAGAACTGAACAAGAACATTTCTTCTTGTATGGAAAAAGGAACAAATCTGTACTCTTTGAATCAGAAAGAAATCTATAATCTGGTCTGAATTCTTTGAAACGGAGAAATGCCACAGAGTCACAGGGAGAACAACTCAGAACGGCCCCAGCTGAGATCTCAAATTCATAAAAGGGTCCAAACTATAAAACACTGACAAATATAATAGTTCTAAGGTTGATACGAAACACATTTATGAACTTCTTTGCACAAAATCCCACTCAAATGAAGTTATCTCAGCAATTTTATTATTGACAGTTTCAGTACCTTCCAGAATGAGCCGTTTCAGGGCTCCGTCACTTTAAAATCACAAACAGGAACTAGCCACGCCCACTCTTCACTCAGGCTGCTATTAGCTGAGAAGCTTTGATATCAGGGAGGGGCTCTTAGTGGAGCCACTGCTCTTCCAGCACTAGCTCTCCTGTGGGAGAGAGGTAGTTTTATTCTAGTTTTCCAGTTTGTGACATCACAAACGGGGACTTTTAAATGTAACATTTACAGGACATAATTCCTAAAACAAAACACTGAAAGAAAATGGATCAATGAGATTTTTTTCATGTTTGGAGTATTTAAAGAGGCAGTAGAGACCATCATGGTAGCACAAAAGGATGCAAAATGTGAGAGTAGCAGGGGCAACCTGCGATGATAATTCATTGGTTGTGTGCATTAGCGGGAGGGTGCTGTTGGAAGATTTAAGTTCTCTGTGCGGGGAGGAGGTGGGACGTTACCGCAGTCTGCTCAATCCTATGACTTTACTTTGTGAATTGAATTTTTTGACTCTTTCCTTGTTGTATTTATCAGCTGGATGGTAAATTATCTATTTGATATAGCTCCTTCTGGGGTCCTGCAACCCCCCAAGGTGCTTTACAACACAGTCATCTACCCATTCAAACACACATTTACAAGCTGATGGTGGTGAGCTACACTGTAGCCGCGGCTGCCCTGGGGCGCATTGGCAGAGGCGAGGCTGCTGAGCACTGGCGCCACCAGTCACTGTGATCACCATCAGTGGCAAGGCGAGTTAAATTACTTGCCCAAGGACACAAAGACAGTAACAGATGGGGCTCGAACTTGCAACCCTCCAGTTATGGAAATTATCTCTGTTTCTCAGAGTTATCTACAGCAGGTAAGATGTTGATTGTTTATAAATTTCCCATATAATTCCACTTTAAGAGACTCAGCAATCACTTTGAGGAAGAATAAACCGATATCAGGTTATAAAAAAAAAGAAATAGAAAATTAACTTTATCATTTGAAACCTAAATTAAGGTTTGCATTCCTTTGCTGCAGAGCTACTCTGTCATTTAATGGGAACTTTTCTGAGAATTACAAAGAGGTGTGGTAGCCAGATGAGCGCCACACTCCCTGGCCAAGGTTCATGTAGAGAACGTGCCATCGTAATGCTGTCAGAGAGCTGTTGCACGAGTGAAGCAGAAAGTTTAAGAGAAACCTCAATAATAAAAGGAAGTAGTGCTCAGTTCTCACACTCTCACTGGCCAAAGTGAGCCAAACTCTCAAAACACACAAAGGCTGCGAGCCACCTAGAGTAAACACACACACACACACACGCACGCACACACACACACAGACGCACGCACACACACGCACACACACGCACACACACACAGCCTGGAGTGTTCTCACAACACCAAAACTCACAGAGATGTCTTCAACCTAAGCAAAGAATAATTTTGTTAATTTGTTTTAATCTCTGAGTCGAGTCTCTCAATCCTGCTGCTGAATATTTTCTGTTGCATTCTCCAGTCTTTGAAGTAAATGAAAAACAGCTGTGTGTGTACTATCTCTCTCTCTCCCTCTCTCTCTCTCTCCCTCACACACACACACACACACACACACACACACACACACACACACACACACACACACACACACACACACACACACACACACACACACACACACACACACACACACACTCCCAGTCATCTTTGTACAACTGGAGCAGTTGATAAAGACAAATAAATCTCAGCGGCACCACCGTCTGATGATAAGCTGACGTTTTGGGTGTGTGCCTTTATTCATTTTGATATTTAAATATTTAATTTAACCTAATTTCACTTTCTATCTGTCTAAAAAGAGCTGACACACATGCAGAGGGAGGGGGACAGGCGTCTAACTCACCTTGTCCTCGGTTTGTGGCTCCTTCTTCCCATTACTTCCTGCAGGTAAAGTTAACCTGAGACGTGCAAATCTTCTCTGTGAAAAACACACAGAAAGACAACAAACATATTAATATCAGATCATTTATTTTGAATGCAGTCACTATCAGAAGGTCAGGAGTTTATTTATAGGAAATGAGCAGCAAACAAAATGTATGTAAATGCTGTAAACTGTAAAAAAGGCAGCATTTGTTCTACTCCAAAAGCAAAACTGACGGTGTAAGCAGATATTCTAAACTCCACATGTGTCTGCAACAGAAAAAAATCCCCCTCGGTTTGTAAAATATTGTAGCGATGGTGTGACTTTTAACCGAGAGGATATTAAAAAGCTGTTTTAGAGCAAAGGCCCATTTAGTATCAGAGCTGTTCAAATAAACATGACACTCCTCTCGTTACATGCTGTGGGAACACACACACACACACACACACACTGAGTCCAGACAAACAATGGGGAGATATAGAAGCACATAGAGAGAAGCTGAGTGTCCTGACTTCTTGGGGACGTCTCACCTCATTTGAAGGCTCTGCAGAGTCCTCTGTTGTGGTGGTGCTGGTGGACACAACTCGTCTGGAACTGTAGCGAAGCATGTCTCCTCTTCTGTCCACTCCTCGCTGGTCTTTCTCTGCCTCTCCAGCCCTCCTCCCACTCTTCCTCTCACTCTCCTTCCGGAGTTCTGCTCAGTTTCTCAGACTGACCATCTGCCCCCTCCCAACACACCCCTCAGCTCCAGTCAGAGAAGAGGAGGGAAATTCCTCTCTGTCAGCCGTCTACTGCAGGTCCGCAGATCTCTGAGGGTCAGGGGCCCTCTCCTTTTCTGTGAGCCCTCCCTTCAGAAACGGGAACACATCTGTGTTTGAGCTCCTCTCTGCTCTCTCTCTGGAAATCCGGATCATCAGTCACCTCCCTGCCTCTGACTCTTGAAGTTGTCCTGCATTCTCACCAGACCTGTAGGGCCACATTTCACCTGAGAGTTGGACTTTCACAGGGTGGGTCCTCCTGCTGGGCTGGGACAGGTGGAGCACTTCTCATCAGGCAGGAGTGGCCAAAAGCAGGAGCTGCACGGTAGAACCTTCAAACAGTCTAATTTTTCTCCTGGAAATCTCATTGAATGACAACTGATTGTACATTTTCCTGTTAAAGATGAGTGAACTAGAGATGGTTTATTTTTTATTTTTGGTCACATACTATTTTAATTAAAATGTTCTTTGTCTCTATTTTTATTTTATAATCTCATTTCAAAAGTACAAATTAAAGCACACGAGAGATGCTTTTTAAATAGTTTTTAACAGATCAATTTAAAACAAATAAATGACTGCTTTTTCTGGAATAATTAGACTTACAACGTATATTTAAGAAGAAGATGTTGTTCAAAAATAAAATTTCAGTAGCACAAAAAAACCAATAAAACTATTATTTAGAGAACAAAATAATTCTTAAAGGAGTTATCTTCTTTATTGTATTGTAAACTTTTATGCTATTGTTTGAATACAAATAAACTTTAAAAATGACAAAAAATTTCTTTCTAAATCCGTATTTTGACTGAATACTTTAAACTGTTTCCACTTGTTGAAACAATCATAAAACAGTTTTTTACAGTGTACCTCTTTCAAACATTTAGGTTTTTGTTTACTTTCTGCCACAGATGCAGCCGGCATCTTGCAGCTGACAAGTGCTTCAGATGATGAATTATTGATACAGCTGATAATGGATATTGATGAAAGGATACCAGCATGGCAGCCATTATTATTTAATGTCATAGCTACCTGCCACACTACCACCAAACAGTTCACTCTGTTGCTCACATGTATCCATCCTCTCAGTTATCACGGCTGAGCGGAAGGACGGTCTTCCCAGAGCCGGATCACTTTCTGAGCGTGAATGGCCGTCTGCAGTCACTCCCTTTCTGCAGGAACAATGGTGAACAAGTTGCAGAGCTCGTTCCGCTGCTGGTTAAAGTCAGCGTACTGGATGTTAATAAAATGTCAGGAAACATTTCTCAGAACAAAATGAGACGTGCAGCTTCAGAACCGGGTGGTAATGATTAACTAAATGGCAAACAGCATGTTGGTTATTTACTTCTGCAATCAGAGCGCAGGTCACTGAGCAGAGCTGGTCACATTTTTCACACACACTTTCTGACAGGTCTGCACTTTCACTGTTTCTGATAACATCCTGATTTAGTTGTGGTTTGTTTCCAAAATGCAGGTGCACATGTTAATCTTGTTACAGGCATGTGCTGAGCTCTGCAAACAGTTTTATTCCACTGGGGCTTAAAAATAAACTTTTTCCAACATTAAAACAGGTCTCCGACACTCGTTCCCAGTGTGTGAGTTTTAATTCCATGTTTTTAACAGCTTTGCTGCTGCACCTTGTCTGAAAAACCAGAATCCTGTTTGATTTTAATCAAATATTTCTCAGCTGATCAAATCAATTAACAGATACAAGGAAGAATGACTTTGTTCTTTACAGATGAATGCATCTTTTTTAGTCTGTTGACGATTAAACAAAGTATTTTCACATTTATCCAATCACATTTCCGTTTTTAAACATGCTTTTAATCATTTATCTGCATGTAAAAGCTTCCTGAGTGTAAAAAAGAGCTCATTGGTGAGGTTAAATCCATTTTATGATGTTTTAAAGGGTGGTGCTTTATTCTGAGACCTCCTTCCAGAGCTGGAGGACAGAGATAAGCTCAGGAGTTCCCTCTGTCCCCGTGCAAGGTGAGTTTATTGTTTGCTGGCATGTGAAGGCCACAGAGCAGGAGTCTGATCTTGTCTCCTGCATGAGGACGGTTGTTTGTGCAGGTTTTTATTGCTGACACTGATAACGTTACTTGGTTTGCACCGCACCCCTGCAGCTTCGGACTGGAAGTGTTAAGAACCACAACCTGACATGTAAAGTCTGAGAGGAAAAAAATGTGTTTTTCTACAGAGATGTGCAGCAAACTAAAACATAAATATAAATTAAATTAGAAGCTATTATTTGTTTTTAGGTTTAAGTTGTTTTAGGCTTTTCTCTTGTGTTTATATAAAATTTCTGCAGTATTACTACAATAAAAAATTTTGTGTAGTAAGAAAACCAGCTGATCAGGTGAACAAATATGTAAACATGCTCATGTTGTCCGTGGAAACTATTTACGTTGGATCAACTGAAGCAAACAGGAAGATCACATGAGAACAACTCAGAATGGCCTCAGGTGAGATCTGAAATTCACTGAAGGGTCTAAACCATTAAAGAAGATATATTACACTTTTTTTCTTAAGTTATAATAGTTTTAAGGTTGATACAAAACACGTTTATGAAGTTCTTTGCACAAAATCCCTCTCACATAAAGCTGTCTCAGCAACTTTGTTCTTGACAGTTTCAGTACCTTCCAGAATGAGCTGTTTCGGGGCTCTGTAACTTTAAAATAACAAGCAGGAACAGACCACACCCACCCAACTAGGCTGCTATTATCTGAGAAGTTCTGGCATCTAGGAGGGGCTCTAAGCAGAGCCATTGCTCTTCCTACACTAGCTCTCCTGCAGGGGAGAGGTGGTTTTATTCTAATGTCCTCATTTGTGACATCACAAACAGGAACTTTTTGTAACGTCTAATTTTAGGCACTTAATTCTTAAAAACCAAACACTGAATGAAAATGGATGGATACGTTTCTTTTTCAAGTTTGAAATGTTTAAAGAGGCAGTAGAGACCATCATGGCAGCACAAAAGGATGTTTTCCAGTAAAACTACCTGTAAATAAAATTACGATAAGAAGTTTGCAGATCAATAAAAGGCAGAGTAGTCATTTAACCAGTCATTAAACTGAAAGGTCAAGTATCTGCCCTCCTCTGTTAAACTCCTCATAATCACCAACTAATCTTTAATATTCACGTTGCTTTCTGATGACCAACAAAAAAACATCCATCTACAAAAGTTACTCATCTGTTCTGAGGTGTATAAAAGCTCCATGAATTAACCGTTTCACATTTCTCAGCTTCACCAAAATTAATATTTGACTCTTATTTAATTGTATTCCTGTCGGTGGGTTTCACTTGTTGTAATTATGGTTTTCTGTCCTAGATATTGTGTTTAGATTTTCTCCACAAAAATACACTGTTTTATTGTAACAAATAATATTTTGTTCATGATTATTCTAAAATCACTTGGCAGAGGAAGATATTATCCTTTTGAAACCAACACCTTGGTCGATATTTATGATAGGTTTGTATGGGGTCACGTGTGTGATGAATAAGGCACGAAGGGTGAGAAAATACTCTCTCGTGGATTGTGAATTATCCTCTTGTGATTGAGAACCTTATGATATAAACATGTCTCCATTAGTCCACCTCTTCTCCTTGGATGGGTCACCAGTCCATCACAGAGTCTCACAGAGATGAATGTGTTCATCAAGGACCCAGAGAACACTTCAGAATCACAGAATCAGATCAGAAAAATGTAACTTCTCCTCTAAAACAAGAAAAAAACAAATGGTTACACTTCTTTTTAGGCGTAACATGCTTGCAGTTGTTGTTTTACTGCCACCTTTTGGATAAAAGTTAAACATGGCATTTTTACTTCAGAATGGGCAGCATGAGACATTTTTATGTAATCTTTATCTAAAGACATAACAAGAACACATAATGCATGATCAATTAAAATAATAAATAAAATAAACAATAACAATTTTTTGCACTTTAATTCACATGTCAATTATATCAGCTGTGAACTAATAACAGCAGCAGCAGAGCGTAATCCTGTGGAGAAATGCATAAATAACTCAAGTTCATTGAGATGTCTGTAGGAAACCTTTCATGGAGTTTGCTGCAGGAGGTCCTAAAGCTGTACCATTCATGAGTTTATGCCTCAAGCTTCAGTAACATCACACACACACACACACACACACACACACACACACACACACACACACACACACACACACACACACACACACGTAAAAAAGGGAACATGTTTGTGTTTAAATGGGACTTATTTCAGATCTGGTAGTTTTGTGAACAACCAGCGAAGCCTTTCTGTCCATTTTGCAGGCCTCACAGGTGTTTTGTTTTTAAATTAACTAGACTAAGTACCTTAAGACATCCTGAACAGGTGATGGTGTCTCTAAACACACAAGTTCTGAGAGCAGGTTTGTCCTGCTTTGCTGAAACACTCAGAGCCCGAGGCGTTCACCGGATGTTTGCTCTGCGTCTGATCCTGGCTGAGAATTTTGTTTCTGCATAAAACAAAAACTCAAAACATCGTGGGTGTGTGTTCATCAGAAAGTAGGGCAGGTCACACCACTGCGTATGAAGGAGGCATAAACATTTACCTGGAATTCTCTAACAGTATCTCTGAGATGCATTTAATGAACCGGTAACAAATCATAGGTGGAGGTTATTCATCATCACCCTCCTGTTCATCTCCCTGTGGGTTTGCACAGATCTGACAGGGAGAGAAACCAGCCACCATCCTTACACTACAACTCACTACTGTTGACACAAACAACATTGATTTTATTCCTACACAATATTTTTGATCTCTTTTAAGTTTCCAACCAGGATGGTCCAGATCAGGTCCAGATCCAAATTATGAAGTCATTTTCATTTGTAAAATCAATCTATGACCCATCTACACACAGGATGTCATTTTATTTTGAAATTTTACGCCCTTGTTTGCCACCCAGATCTGAGCTATAATGTTGTTTCTACAAACGCCACTAGGGGGCAGCGTGACACTGTGATGTTCTCCACAGCCCGGATGTGACCTGATTTCTGCCAAACTTGTAAAACTAATTCTACAGTAATCTGACGGAAAAAATGTGATTTTTTTTTATCAAACTTCACATCTGCAGATTTTTATCATAAATTAGAAGTGAATTGGTGTTTTGTGTGAGGACTCAGAGGTCATCTTTTATTTCACTCTGGCTGAAGTCACTCAAGCACATAAGGAATCTCAGGAATGGTCACCTTGCTGAGGCTTACACAACTTTTACCTCTTAATCCTGCAGCACTCATTTGTTTACTACTTGGCCTGACGTGGAGGAGGTGGAGATAAAACCGAGTCAAAGGAAAGGTTGAGCTGTTTGTTCCACGCCGGACACAGGAACAAACAAAGGTCACGACCTGACAACAGCCGGTGGAAATCAGACTCTTTCTTGGCTGTTCTCAACGAGAGATCTGGACCATTTAACAAAAGTGACTTTCTAAAGTCATGAAAAACAGTTTTCATTTTTCAGGGACGATTCAGTTTTAGAGACAATCTGAAAAATATAGCTTCAGTGTAAAGATGTAACTTTTCATGTAATAAACTCAGTCAGTGGAAAATTAATAAATAATATTGCTAATTTAAAATTTATTGGAAAATAAATGGCAACTAATGCTGCAGACATTACATGTGTGGTTATTATGACAATTGTTTGTTTACCAATAAAAAGCAAGGACCTCATAATCTATTGCTTTGCTTGTTTTATTTATTTATTTTTTTTACACATTTTAGTAAGAAAAAATGTTTTTTACCTGACATGTTTTGCCCAATGCCTCTAGTCATCATCACTATTTTATTTTTTTTTACTAAAATGTGTAAATAAAAAGAACAAATTAGTGGATTACGAGGTTAAACAGAACGAACATACAAAAGAGTTTTGAAGGACCTCATCTGTCTATGATAACATCTTTAATGTGTTTGGAGCTCATTCTTTGTGTCTGAAAATGTTTAGGTCAAGTTTTTAGACAGTAAGGTGTGCTAAGAGTTAAGTTTTACTCTAATATGCAGGAAAAATATTCAGTAACGATGTTTATTAATCTGGTCAAATTTCAGACAGGTTAGATGTTCCATCTGTGATTCCACGCAACTTAAAAGATAGCTAAGTCATACATATGACATAACATATTTTTTTTAAGTCAGAGCAGCAGGAATGGGCTTCCATAACAGCCACAACAAAACAACAGTTTTTATTTAAGATCTCATTGAGTATCTGTTTTCTGCTGGAGATCATAAATACTGACACATCTTGTTTAGATTGACGTCTGTGTTCAATGAAATCTGGACCTTAAGAAGTTAAATATTCAGTTTAGATGTCATCTTTGAATTCATTTTTATGATTCAAAGTTACAAAGCATCAAAACTATCGGATTTTTAAGATGTTACTGGGGAACAAAGGTTTAAAAATCCCCTTGGGGAAGTTAATCATTTTTATTTGAACATATCTATAAAACACAATTGTGGGCGTGGCCTACATGCTCCACAGCGCCCCCTAGGGAGTGGCTCAAAGGCCACAGCTGAAACTGGCTGAGACACTCGGAGGCATTGGCAACAGTCAGGTAAACACATTTCAGCATTCAAGTATCAGTTTCATTGTTGGTCAGCTCAGCTATTTCGAACACAATATCCCCCAAATAGGAAGTTAATTATGAGATAGCTATCTCTAAATAATGAGAAACTAAGTCCTAATTATTATATATTTTTTATCAGAGGGGCAGGAATTGGCTTCCATACATTTAAACAATGATCAGAAGATGTAAATTCATGAAATTCAGGTAAATTCTTTGCCTTTTTGTTTCATTTAAACATTCCTGCTTTACTAGTTTTAAGTTTGATTTTCTCTGTCTTACAGGTCCCATCTTTGATACTTTTTAACAACATGGCTGATTCTTTACCTGATATCTACAGTAAATGGTCCACTACACCTTCTGACATTTCACCATGTAATCTGATTATCAAACATTCTGGTCCAAATAACTTTTCTTTAATATTATATACTTTCATAAATTCTAGTAGGTGATCTTTATCACCAAGTAAAGGTCAATGAAGATTAGTCATGATTCAAGAGGCTCTGGGGGGAAACAGAAATCAACTTTTATTTGTCTCAGCAGGATTTATGAACATACATTTGTGTACAAAGAGGTATTAGCAGGAATCTGCGTTCCTCCACAGAGTTTTCAGCATAAAACACAGTAAAAGTCATCACAGTGTATAAAAACTTTGATTGTCAACTCATCTCAAATACATTCCCTCATTCAGTGAACATAAGACTCAATGAGCCTGATGTTAAAAAGCTCAGTCTCACACAGGTTGTGTAATAATCCTGCCACCAGAAAACAGGATTAACCACAGATTGAAAGGTCTCCAGTCTGAAAACGCCGGTACAAAAATTCCGATTCAAACTTTTCTTACCTTTTTTTATATTTTGATTACTAAATGCATCTTAATTACCATAATGGCTGTGTTTTAACCGATGGTTTTAACGTAGCAAGTGAGCTGAGAATTCAGACAAAAAATATTAATAGTTTAACTGATGTCAATGTATTAAAAAATAAGCTGTTATATAATAAACACAGTATAAAAATCCCTCATTTACTTTCCCTAAAATCCAAATAAACCCAAGATGTTGCAAATTTACCTTCATAAATAAAAAAAAAACATCTTGGTAAAAATTTGCTCTGGATATTAGATTTTCAATCAGTATAAAATAGAAAAAGGAACTTATACTTCATGTAACTGGACTGTGTAAAAAGTATATTCAGATGCTTGATGTGAGATTTAGGTTATCTGGTGAGCATAAAAAGGAAAGTAAAAATACTTAGTTTTCTTCACAAAGGCAGGACTGGTTGTGCAGTTTTACAGTGCAGTTAATGATTTACATTCACTAATGCTAGGTTTATTAATAAGAATGTGTAACAAAGAAAACTCCGTTTAGAAAAGACGTAACGATGATATAAGTAGGACGCAGACATAGAAGGACGAGGTAAAGACTGTACATTTCATTTCTGCAGGACAGACGTTCATCCATCAAAGAGCTGCTCAAGTAATACTGAGTGAGTTTATGGACATTGAGACTGCATCCAGAAATAAAATACAGGTATATGAGACTGCTGTTGACGGAGGGAATTAGTAACAAAGTATTTTAATATTTACACAGATAAGTCAGTAACATCTAGGACAGACAACGTAGACACTTGCAGCCTTTATAAAGTTAAGTTTGACAGGATGCTGTCCTGACTCGAGGAGCGTTTATATCCTGTGGATGAGCTGAAGTACGTCTCTCTGTTTGTGCTGAAGTCTTCATCGTCGTCGTCATCATCATCATCCAGGCTGTTGAGCATTGGAGCAGAGGAAGTCTTACGCCTGGAGCAGAGATTATAAAACAATAAAAAAGTGGCTTGTGTTTAAAATACAAAGTTTGTCCTGCTTCGGTGGTTTAGTGATCGTGGCGTTTACCTCATCTCCGTCCGTAGAGCTTTGAGCTGACTCTGGAGCTGCTCGTTGGCCTCCTGCTGTTCATCCAGGTCTCTCTGCAGCTTCTTCTTCCCATGCTCCAGTCGGTCGATCTCCTCTTCAGCCTCGTCCACCTGCCTCTTTAAGGCTTTCAGACGAAGATTCAACTAGGAAACGATGAAAAAGAAATGTTATGGGATGGAAAAGTTCACTTTAAAAGGTTTATTTTTAAAGTTATGCTTGGTTAAAACATTCCTGGGTGTGTTACATACTTGGTTCTTTTGATCTTGCATTCCATGATGTTCCTCTTCAATTTGCATCATCACCTCTTTTACTTTCCTCTCCAGCCTTCGGTTTGCCAGCTGCAGGTTAGCCCGCTCCCTAAACAAGACCAAAAAAAGAGAGAAACACAGGTGTCATCACAGTAGATGTAGCGAATCCTTCTGTCAGAGCCACATATTTTTGTTTCAAAACAAAAAAACTAGCCAACCACTAGTTTTATTAGAAGGTATAAACAGTGTTCTCCTCAGCCTAATGAAACTTTCTCCTGTTCTGTCAAAGCTTTTCTTTCCTCCTGATCTTCCCTACAGGACCAGGATCTTTCTCTCACCTTTCCTCCCCCTCCAGTCTCTCCTCCAGCTCCTGTATCCGAGCCTCCAGCTGGCTCACCAGGCCCTCCTGATTTGACTTGTGTGAACCTTCCAGGTGAGTCACTCTGGACTTCAGGTCTTTATTCTGGAGACAATTTGAAATTAGTAAAGAACCTCAAAAACGCACCTGTAGATTACAACCATCCCTCTGAACAGGAAACAAGATGATGGAATGGATGAGATGATAAAATGAATGAATGAATGAATGAATGAATGAGTGATCTGAACTGTGTGTGTGTGTGTTTGTTATTGTTCAGTCAGGAGAGAGTGTACCTGTCTCTCCAGAGCCATCTTGTCACACTCCAGGTCCTGTCTGCTACCCCTCTCCTGTAGGAGTTCATTCCTCATCTGCTCCACCTGTCAAGCCGAGTCCAGACACCGTCATCGCTACAGTCCCACACGTCCCACAACAATTATCCTTAGACTGTCTGAGTCTCACCCACAACAGAAACCTCAGTAGCAGCCAGTGAGTCAAAGAGCTGAACAATAGAGATGATGCTGTTGATGCTCTGCCTAATCAGTCAGCTGGATTTTCTCACTTGATTGCATTCCTGCGCTTGTTTCGACTGGCATGCCAACTCTCAGTGGAACAGGGTTTGGGTTTAAAACTAGTTCATTAATGAAAACGGGGTTATATGTGTTGTTTTTAACCATTAGGTGCTAAATATTGGGTTTGTGCTGCAACAAATCTTTAAATTTCAAATGAGATTCTGGTTTGACTTTTGACAATTTAGAAGGTTTAAGATGTTTTAGATAAAATGGGCAATTTAATCACAGACAAAACTAAACTGGTGAGTTTTATGTTTAGTTTATGGAAGATATGGGTTTATGAAGGACATTTAAAGGTAACTGAAAATGTCCAACATGACAATAAAAAGTATTCATTCAAAGCTTCATGAGACACTCAAATTTCCCATCCTGATATTAACAGAGATGATAATTACTTGTTTGGACCAAATGTTGTAATTTTTGTCTTTAGAAGTAACTGGAAATGTAATCATTTTCACGTTCACTGTAGTTACCAGATAAATGAGTCATTATATGCTTAAAAACAGAAAAGTTACTGGAAAAAGCTGTGTTGTCTGTTAGTAAGCAAATATAAAAGCTTTTAATATTTCAAATGGCAGCTTCCAATTAAAAAAAAAAAGATTTCAAAAACATTCTTGTTGTCAGACTATAAAAGTTCCTCAGAGATTTCAGATTTATTTTACTCAAATAAAATATCAACTGAAACTAGTTTAGATTACATGAGGTGTTGTGGTGGAGCAACATGCACGCAGTCAAGTTTAAAGATGCATGAGGATAATTTGTTAATGAGACCATTCATCATCACAATATCAAATTATCACTTTTATGATGACGTCATCAGAAATCATCTGTGACCGGAGCCCGGCGGTGCCAAGTCTGACGGCTCAGTCTAAAGACGAGAGAAGGAAAACTGATCGATGCAGCAGTGATGGTTGTTTCTTTGTGAGCATAGCTGAGAATTGGTGATATTTTATGCCAATTAGTGGGTGACAGTGGGCTGCTCTGATGAACGATGGCCCCTATAACTGGTGCAGCCAGCACAGTGCTTGAGGGAGCTGAATCAGCAGACTGGAACATGCAGCTAAACTAATCTGCTTTGTGAGAGACGGCAGGAGAGGAGAGGGGAGATTACTCTCATTTAGACAGGAGAGGAGCACCTGGTGCCAGGAGAGACGCAGGTGTTCGTCCTGCTGCCTCTGCTGCAACCCCACCACCCCATAGCCATGCACACACCACCCCTCCACCCCACAGACATTAGAGTACACACACAAGGCGTGTGTGTGTGTGTGTGTGTGTGTGTGTGTGTGTGTGTGTGTGTGTGTGTGTGTGTGTTCACGCGTTCAGTCACACACCACCAGCACTCAGCCTACTCCACTCTGCACAAAGCTCAGATGTTGCCTTGACAACCGACCTCAGCCTCATGCTGAACCAATGCCACTTTTCTGTGTGCCAGGGGCTTCTTTCTCCCCCTTAGGGGAACCATTTAGGAAGATTTTAATACTCCGCTGTAGCACACCAACGCTTCACACTTCATTTAAAATTGTTGACCTCAATGAAGGGAACCTGTAACTAAGCCAGACCTCACCCGTCTTAGGATTCAATAGTAGTGTCAGAAATAAAGTCACACACAGCCAAAACAAGCTCTTCATGAAAGCATAAAGCAAGATGAACTGATGCAAAAAAAGCAGGATAAGTTATGAACAATCCTCCTAAAAGCTGTTTACTTTATCCAAACTTCTCCGCACAGCAGCTCTGGCAGCAGCTTCATCACAGCGGAGGGAAACTGGAGCATTTTCTCACAAGCAAACCAAACTTGTTTTTCCTCAAGATGAAGTTACCGGGATACAATTTCCAAGTGAACTCCACAAACTGAAAACTTGAGACATTTGGCAGCATATTTTGGCCCAAGTGGTGCATTAAGAAGGCTCTTTTTGTGACTGATGAGAGAATATTGGATAGTTGTTCTCAAGCTCATGCTGGAAAGCTACCAAACCTGAATGATTGTGCAAGATCCTCTTACAAACCAATAAAAGTGGATGTGGAGGGGGTACTATTTGTGAAGACAGACAGGTGAGGGTGTATACATGCACAAAAATCACATGCATTGAGTATTGTGTTATACATTAAAGACCTGGGGTTGTTACATGGAGGTTTCTTTCATTTAGAGATTAGTGATGACATTAGAAGTGGAGCGTGAAGCAACAGGAGATCTGGATATCCCTTACAGGTTTGAGGTGGAACAGAAACTTTTCTGTAACAAGCGCTAATGAGAATGTGTTGAGAATTTGTACCTGACTTCTTTCTCGGTCTATCCTGTCCATCAGCTGGTCTCCACTGTGACGCTCCTCCTCGAGGTCCAACTCCAGTTGAGCGATCCTTTCCTGTAGATGAGACGGGAAAGACGGTGAGATTTAGCTTTGTCGTTCGCAGACAAAAGATAACAGTCTTTTGAAATGATCTAATCTTATATGATTCACAAATGACAGAGCTTAAGCTGTGGATTCATGTACCTCCATTAATTTGATTTGTCGAAGTTTGTTGTCTTTAGTCTGCTCGTTTTTCTCAACCTCCATCTCCAGATCACGAACTTTTTTCTCCAGCGTCTTTTCCCTGAGGACAGCTTCGTCTCTCTCCCTCTCGCACTGATGCAGGCCCTCCTCCCGCAGTGACAACTGCAAAATAAATGTTGCAGATTGATCATACCACAACAGCTTAATGAATAGTAATTTCTCATAATATTCATTCCAACGGCAGACACTTTCATCCAACAGAACTTTGCAAGTGAAGAACATCATAAAAGCTTCAGTAAATGGAGCAAAATCTATTTTAAATAGCAGCAAATATAGAAGTTTAACATGCAAGTTCTGATCTGTTAGCATTCAGCAGCTCACTAAACCTAAACCTTTGAGGAGCCATACATAAAAGTCATTATTTAAAGAAACATCTGTTCTGTTTACATACCAAACCCACATCTGTTCTTTTTTCAGGCACCTTGATGTTGAATCTGACCTTGTATGGGTTCCAAGTTTCACTAACAGCCTTGATGGGCTTTAAATCAACCTGCAGTCAGCGCAGACTAACCTGGAACCACCTGATCAACTTCTACACCTGGTTTAATGTTTCACCTTAATTTGTGATAGTAATAAACTAATTATACTGCTTGCCCTTTAGAGAAATGACATGTTCCTCCAGACCAGCAAAACTTCTCCCTCCTTCAACTTTACACAACTTTTAAATTACTGCATTAATTACTAATGTAACCCATGTAGAAAGTCAGGATATAAGACTAATCCACGTAGTCTGACATGTTATGTGCTTACTCCACATGACGTCACTTCCTGTCTAGAAGAGCTGAGTGCCAGCAGCACAAGATGTGCAGAGAGAGACACACAAGGCAGACAGCTACAGGTGTTAACTTGGAATGACAGACAAACAACGAACTGTAGTGAATAAAACAATGACCAATTTTGGACGAGAGACGTGAAGAATATTACCAGAGTGTGAGTCTAGGAGGATTTATCTTTTCTTTTAACTGCTTGAAACTCTGGTGAGTTCCATGCTAAGCTATACGGTTATTGCTAGCAGTGATGGAGTAAAACTTAAATATAATTGTTAACTACGTAGAAATAGATGTTTGATAAGGTTAAAATAGTTTTGGGAAATGTTTGGTGACATTTACAGGCCCTTCTCAAAAAATTTGCATATTGTGATAAAGTTCATTATTTTCTGTAAACATTAGACTTTCATATATATTAGATTCATTACACACAACTGAAGTAGTTCAAGCCGTTTATTGTTTCTAATATTGATGATTTTGGCATACAGTTCATGAAAACCCAAAATTCCTATCTCACAAAATTAGCATACCATGAAAAGGTTCTCTAAACAAGCTATTAACCTAATCATCTGAATCAACTAATTAACTCTAAACACCTGCAAAAGATTCTTGAGGCTTTTAAAAACTCCCAGCCTGGTTCATTAATAAAACCGCAATCATGAGAAAGATTGCCGACCTGACTGCTGTCCAGAAGGCCATCATCGACACCCTCAAGCAAGAGGGTAAAACACAGAAAGAACGAACGAATAGGCTGTTCCCAGAGTGCTGTATCAAGACACCTCAGTGGGAAGGAAAAAGTGTGGCAGAAAATGCTGCGCAATGAGAAGAGGTGACCGGACCCTGAGGAAGATTGTGGAGAAGGACCGATTCCAGACCTTGGGGGATCTGCGGAAGCAGTGGACTGAGTCTGGAGTAGAAAGATCCAGAGCCACCGTGTACAGGCATATGCAGGAAATGGGCTACAGGTGCCGCATTCCCCAGGTCCAGCCACTTTTGAACCAGAAACAGCGGCAGAAGCACCTGACCTGGGCTACAGAGAAGCAGCGCTGGACTGTTGCTCAGTGGTCCAAAGTACTTTTTTCCGGATGAAAGCAAATTTTGAATGTAATTCGGAAATCAAGGTGCCAGAGCCTGGAGGAAGACTGGGCAGAGGGAAATGTCAAAATACCTGAAGTCCAGTGTCAAGTACCCACAGTCAGTGATGGTCTGGGGTGCCATGTCAGCTGCTGGTGTTGGTCCACTGTGTTTTATGAAGGGTAGGGTCAATGCAGCTAGCTATCAGGAGATTTTGGAGCACTTCATGCTTCCATCTGCTGAAAAGCTTTATGGAGATGAAGATTTCACTTTCGGCACGACCTGGCACCTGCTCACAGAGCCAAAACCACTGGTAAATGGTTTACTGACCATGGTATTACTGTGCTCAATTGGCCTGCCAACTCTCCTGACCTGAACCCCATAGAGAATCTGTGGGATATTGTGAAGAGAAAGTTGAGAGATGCAAGACCCAACACACTGGATGAGCTTAAGGCTGCTATCGAAGCATCCTGGGCCTCCAAAACACCTCAGCAGTGCCACAGGCTGATTGCCTCCATGCCATGCCGCATTGAAGCAGTCATTTCTGCAAAACGATTCCCGACCAAGTATTGAGTGCATAACTGAACATAATTATTTGAAGGTTGACTTTTTTGTATTAAACACACTTTTCTTTTATTGATTGGATGAAATACGCTAATTATTTGAGATAGGAATTCTAGGTTTTCATGAGCTGTATGCCAAAATCATCAATATTAGAAAGAATAAAAGGCTTGAACTACTTCAGTTGTGTGTAATGAATCTAATATATATGAAAGTAATGTTTATCAGTACATTATAGACAATAATGAAATTTATCACAATATGCAAATTTTTTGAGAAGGACTTGTATATTTTGTTTTGTGTCCTTAAGTTATGTTTAAAGTGTTGGAAAAAAACATTAACATTATGCTAATGCTAAGTGCGAGATTCTAACTTTTAAGCTAATGGTTAAATTAACAGTTGGTAAATATATAAATGTCAGATGGATGCATTAGCTATGTGTCTGGAGGTCAATATTTATGCTTGAGTATTTCAAGTGTAATTTATTGCACTCTAAAAAAAAACAATTGTTATGAACTTTCATTTCATTTAATTTATTACCATGATGTTTGGATTTACGTTACTTGTTAGATCAAGAAAGGCATGGCTTAATTTGAGCTGGTTCGTGTCGGAACAAGATCCGGGAACTATTTTATTTTGAAAGGACCGTCCCGGCAACTGTCTGCAAGGATCCGACAACTTACGTGACAAACTTGTGCTATACGCAGGATTCGCGCGGGGGAGGGGGGGGGGGGGGTGTCACACGTTCCACTGTTGTTTCTCACCAGTATCAGCTGATGGAGGGCTCTAGTTTTGTTGCGTCGTTCGTGTACACGGTAGGGTCAGGGAGGGGGGCGGGGCATGACCGCCAGGCTTATTATAAAGCACTGGGGGAAGCCCTGAGTTCATTTTTGTATCTGGTGGTTGCAACAAACAGACACCATTGAAGGTAATCAGAAGTGAGGAACAGAAAATTAAATGATTCTTTCAATGTTTAGATCCGCAGGAACTCTGAGAGGCTGCAGGCGCATCAGTGAGTTTGCCACCGCTGCGCAGGGGGAGAGGGCTGAAGCAGGGGAACAGTAAAGATTCTAAAACTACCATTGTTAAAAGAGATGTGTGTTAACGTAGAACAGTGGTTTCCAAACTTATTTAGCCGCGCACCCCCTTCTATGTCCCGACCATGTCGACGCACCCCCCAGCCCCCACATCAGGGCATGGCTATATATATATATATATATATATATCAGACGTCAAGCTAAACAGACAGGGTTAAAAAAATATGTTCGACCTTTTTCCCCATCACTTTCATTTTTTAAATAGTAATTAATAAACATTCAATACCATTACGATTTCCTTTGATTTAATATTAAATAAATATTTAGAGTGTCCAGGTAGCACATAAACAATGCAATTTAACGGTTTTCTTAAAGTAGGAACGTTTAACCTGTGCGGCCAGAGCGCTCTCCTTCCTTCTGCTCTGCGTAAACCTGAACTGATCACCTACTTGTGCGTAATCAAATGTCTATAGGGGACAATATGGAAAAGCCATGAGGTTCACTTTTGCCTTAGACCGACTTATTGCTGTTTTATGGTGTGGCTGAATCTGCGATCCGCTGTCATGCGGACCGGAATAACAAATGCTGCAACAGGGGTTGTAATCAGGTTCGGAGTCACTGCTGGAGCGGATCCGACTTTAATACGTCATCCCAAAATAGAAGCTAATATCTTAATTTGACCTGGATTGAAAAATGTTATAAAACCTCTTAAAAGTTTTTATCACAGAGGAGGCAGCACTCATTTCTGGGGCGCCGGAGTTTGCGCAGCGTGCGCTCTTATTAAATCTGCGTGTGTGTGTGTGTGTGTGCGCGCGCGCACGCGGCACAGCTCCATGAGCCGCTCCAGTCACCGCGCCTCGTTATTGGCGCTATTTAAACCAATGTTGTAAAATGACTTCTGCCCAGCCCAGATGTGCTCACTTGTGCACCCGTGAGCCGTGGTTCCGCTGACACGCGTCTGACCTCTGACAGACGCACTCTGAACTTCAGATCTCCGGCACGCTGTTAATAGCCTGAATGGGAATCATTTCTTATTTATTTTGTTACATCCACAATGTTCTGTGTGTGAGGTTTACAATGTCAGAACACCTGCATGAGACAGGTGTTAATTACAATCTGCCAGAATGACTCACCTTCAGATTTCTCCAACACCGTTAAAAATGATCAAATACGGAACATATCGGCGTGCGCAGGCCAGAGTGCTGAAGCTCGGCGCATTGTTATTATGAAGCTAGAACACATGTGGAGGACACACACGTGCGCGCAAAAATATACTTGTTTTCAATTACATTTATTGGGCCCACTTACTTTTTCTTTGGCCCACCCACAAATGAGTTTCTACGCTAATGGTGACATATGACAGACTTCTCTGAGCTCCACAGCCATTACACTTTTCACCTCGCGCACCCCCTAGCGGCAGCTCGCGCACCCCCGGGGGTGCGCGCACCACACTTTGGGAATCCCTGACGTAGAAAATGTGGGTGCAATTTTAAGTACTTGTCAACCCCCCGTGTGTTCCTTTATCTGCTTTGCCTTTAGTGAACTTTGGTTTGACATCAGTATTTGCGTTCCGGGAACGTTTGATTTACAAATTAAGCACTTGGTAAGGTAATTGATGAGATCTCATAAGATTTGAAGGAATCAGATATTCTTTCAACCCTACACTTCTTGTGTAGGTTGGTTTTTTGTTCTCTGTTCCGGATGATCGGAACTGTCAGTGATTTGGAAGATTGGATGGCGAGCCCAGCCCAGTGATCCTGAAGGCAGTTGGTGATGCGGTGTGGCCAGCCATAGGTCCTGCCCAGAAATCCTTGGATTGTTGCAACACTTCACTGATCACAGATAAGACACTCACGTTAGCAACCTACCCAGGTAGTAGCAGTAGTAACACTGGAGGACAACGTGAACAGCACACACACATACATTTTGGAATCCGAATTATTAACCGGTTGAGCTCAATTGAATGGACTGATTTGTTCTTGTTTTTTTTTTATTGTTTCTTGTGGCACCTTAATTTTTCATTGAGAGTTACAGCAGAGCTGTCAATAATTTTGTTGTGTAGCAATAAATGTCAATTGTTCAACCGATTACCTGCTCCTTTTTGAGTGTTACTCCCATAGAACCTAGGTAAATGTGAGTATCTCAACAAAAGTTAGGACAGAGGTGCTACACTAAGTAAAAAAAAGATCTAGAATGTTAAAGAACAGTTCTTTTTGTTTTTAAATCCTAGTTTTCTTCTGTGAATAAAAAAGAAAAACCTGGAGATGTTCCAGCCTACATCATTAACTTTAGTGTTGACCTGCCAAGAGAACATGGGAGGAGGCCAACAGGACATTTGAAAGATGCCTGATAAGAGGACTAACTGGACTAGTCATCGGTTTCTCGGGAGAGGTGTTGGAGGAGGTGGAGGAGGATGAGCCAGCGCAGCTTTCACAACAGCGATAGCACAACCCTGACATCCTCCGCTTCCTGTACACCAGCTGAATAAAGATACATCAGCAGGGATAAAGACGGGAAGAAACTGGATGCTGACCTTGTCCCAACTTTTAATCTCCACTAGCAAATGAATCATCATAAGAAGAAGAAGAAGCCAAAGAAGCTAATCAGCAAGTCAGAATGTGTCTTACAAGTGTAACAAAATGTAGTTTAAACAGCTTGAAAAAGAAAATCTCAACGTTGAACTTGTTGAGAGTTTTAAGCAGGAAAATAGCGTTTTCTCAGTTGAGTTTTCCCTAAAAACAAACAAAATTGTGTTTACCTTTTTTGCATTAGCTAACCTGAAAGTATTCAGGGTTAAGGGGCTAGTTAAAGAACATGTTTGGTGATTTTCTAGCTCATAAAGCTCTTTCTAGGGTCTTGGACTTACAGAGTTTGCCAAAAATACTGCAGGTTTCAGAAAACGGGAGGATGAAATTCCCTATCAGTCTATCGACTCAACCATGAAACATTTCTGAGTGTCCACCATGAAAATAAACAAAAAAAATTTTATCCAAGCTGCCCTGCTTTCAGAAAAACTTTTGCATTTTAAACTAAATTGCATTTCATCCTGACATGAATAACCACAATAATCCATTTCAGTTATGAACAAAAGCATTCTCCAGATGCCAAAGCGCTGACTGGAACTGAACACAATGCAGCGAGGTCATAAGTCAAGTTTTATTAGTTTTATATATCCAAACATCACAGGAAAACATCCCGTATCCTCTGAGCTGCATGTGTAGAACAAAAAAATATTATAGTAATGATAAGTTTTGAGAGACCTGACTTTTCTTTACTTTAAAAGCATGTTTGGGCTTTTAACAGGGCAGTGGGCAGCAGAGATACCTCAGTGTTGACATCACGGTCTGAAAGGACACAGGATCAACTACGGAGCGTCTCTCATTGAGTCATAACAAAGCTTTCCTGCATGAGTAAGCTTGGTTAGCAGCCTGCTCATTATGTCTGGCACTACTGCAGGACACTTTACCTCTTCTTGCAGGGCTTTGGTGGTCAGCATGCACCCCTCCAGCTCCTGCCCTCGCTCCTTTAGGAGCCTTTGCAGCTCTGACAGCTCCCGTCGGTTCTTTTCTTTATAAATATCAATCTGCTCCTGCAGCTCCCGGGTGGACGACTGAGACGCCTCCACAATATCATTCATCTGCAGACAGTGAGAAAAAGAGATGTGGAACAACATCTGGGGAACAACATATAAAACGTACACTAATTCCATTTACATCTTACAGAAAAAAGCAATAAGAATAATCACAAAGAGCAACTACAGAGATCCGTCCAATCCATTATTTATAAAATTTAAAACACTAAAATTCTATGATCTGGTAGACTACAATATTTTAAATTTTATGTATAATGCAAACAAAAGGAACGCACCTGCAGGATTAATCAAAAGATTTACAAAAAGACATAGCAAATATGATCTAAAAGGACATGAATTATTTAACATACCTAGACATTGGATACTCATAAAGGAACATTGTGTGTCTATATATGGAGTTAAATTGTGGAATAAATTAAATACTGAAATCAAGAATGCAAAAACAATATTGACATTCAAAAAGGAGATAAAAAATGAAATGATTAACCTATATAGATCCATTACATAAATGTGAGAGGGAAGTGGGGTTGGGGGGATGAAAAAAAAAAGGGAAACAAGTCTATGTATTCATTTGTGTATATATGTATGTATAGAGGTCTACAACTTTATGCTTCTCTGTGTAACTCGTTTTCGCTTTTTTTTTTTCTTTCTTTCAATTCATGGGTTGAGATTGTGTGGGCCAACCAGTCCAGGAACTATATTGTTCAATTTTTTTGTATTAATGTTATTTTAGTTAAAAGGGGCAGATAACATAAGTTTTTCTTCTTCCTGTCCCCTTTTTCATTTTGGCTTGTAGTAATTTTTTTCTGTTTTTATTTTAATGTCAATAAATGAAAAATTAAATGAAATTTAAAAAAAAGAAACCTTAGAGCAGTGTAAGGCAATAAGGAGGCAAGTTTGGTTTGAAAAGTTTCAATAAAAACTCAGCTGTTAATCGAACTTGCATATTACATCAGTAAAGGCTTTAAAATATGCTAGAAATTGTTTCAAGAACTTGTATTTACCTTTAAATCTTAAAATGTTGTACTATTTTGAAATGAAATCAACAGGAAGAGTTTTTTGTTTTAGATGTAATGAATAAAAAGTTAGTTTTGTGTGTTTTTTAGCAGTTTTTTTTCTCTAAAAGAATATTAAACGCTCAACTTTTTACGCCTGGAAATCTGATTCCTTCAGATGAATTAAACAAGTATTTGACAGTGAATATAAATTGTATTTGATAAAGAAATAATTTAAAATGACTTAAGTGAGATCAGCCCTTTACTTGTTATTTACACAGATGTACTTGTTTAATGTCTGGATGCTGACCTCCTTCTGAAGCTTTTCTACTGTTTGGTCCAGCAGCCTCCTCTCATCTTCGATGTTGTTGTTCATGTTTTTGAACTGCTCCTTCTGGGTTTTCTCTTCCTGTAATCTCTCCTCCAGCTCCTTGTGTTCACTGCTCACTTTAGCAAAGTTCCTCTTAAAAAATAAATAAATAAATAAATAAATAAATAAAGACGTGGTTAAAAAACATTAGAAAAGTTACACGTCTACTTGCAACGAAGAGCAGTGTTGCTACGGCTTACCTGCACGTCTTCAAGCCGGAGGGTCAATGCCCGATTGGCACGTGACATCTCCTCTTCTTGTTCCTTAATCTCAGCTAAAGATTCTTCCAGATGCTTTTTCTCTCTCTGTAATTTGGAGATTAAAGCATTTTAAACTGTTATCCTGAAGCGGCAGAGCAGAACGAACTCAGTAGTAAAATTAAACTAAGATTAGTTTCAGTTCTGAAACTCAATCCATCTTTATTGTTGTTAAGCCCATACCTCCATCCTGGCCACTTTATCTGCCAGCCTGCTCTCCTGTAGCTTGGCATCATCAATGATTCGGTTGAGTTTGGTCACCTCGTTTTCCAGCTCGTTCGACCGCCAGCGAAGTCGCTCGATTTCTTGGGTCAGTCGCCCTGCCTGGCCCTCTGCTGCACCCTTGGCTGCCTCCACTTCAGCCTTTTCTTGGAATACCGCCGCGCTGCTCTGCAGCACAGAACAACGTATGCAGCTTCAGTTCAAAGGAAGCAAAAGTCTGTGACTCTCAATAAAACTCAAATCAAAGTAGAACTATATGCATGACGGAACATCTCAAATGCAAGATTACAAAAGGTATTTGTGGTGCTCAGCCCCTCTTTATTGCTGTGGAGACACTAAAGAACAATCCCTTCCTGTAAGTCTCTCACACTTCATAATAAACCACAAATGAAGGCAAACTGTGCTTTTATTGATGTCTGTTGATTGAAGGCCTCAAAAGGTCACCAGGCACCATGACCTCTACTTATTTTAGTATTTAAACAATTGAGAAGCTGTAGTCTGTGCTTGGGAAAATATTTCTAGATTGAAATCTGAAATGAATATGTTCAGAAGAGATACAGAAATATGTGTTTGTGGAGGAAGGAAGAAAACTGATCACACAACTTGACACGTACCGGTGGTTCATGACAATGCCACTGAGCAAAAGGCTTTCAAAAACCTGTTTCTGCAGTGCGGGTGGAATGTCAGGTAACTGGTTTGACAATTCCTCGCTGATGACATCTTCATGTCGTTAGGGCATACCAGTTTATCCAGAATTACAGAATGCTTTGTAAAACTTATTTTTACAGTTTACGAGATGAAAGCTAACAATTAAAATGTTAAATCAAATGTGTTCATGGGTTCTTGATGCTTTATGCCATCTCCACAAACAAGCAGGTTGGTAATTCCATTTTTGGTTCTTTTTAAAACACAGGAAAGGTTTTTCTTTACCTTGCTAACGTTTCGTTTGCCGACTGTAAAACATCCTCAGAGCTGACGCTGATGGTGGCATCACTTCCTACTCCGTTGATCCGCAGGCAGCAGAGGACGTTGTCGCCCTCTGCTGCCCGCTCTCCCCTCTCCAATGATGCAGTCCCATGGACGATCCAATGTGTAGACTCCATCGTCTCGGTTCATAGTCCCACATCCACGTCTCCTTATCTCTGTAGCTTCTTTTATCCATCTTTTGTATCCATCAGTTGTTCGGTGTTCATGATCCTTGTGTTGTCCCAGTCCATTATATGGTTTTCTCTTGTGCAGTGATCTGTTACGGCTGACTTCTTTATTGTGCTTTCTGCTTCTTGTTTTGCTGCTCTTGTGTTTTCGACTTTTCTTTCTCACACTCCTTACTATGTTCTATAGTTCGCGAGTTGAGTTGGCGTCCGGTTTCTCCTATGTATGTTGTATTGCAGAGTTTGCATGGGATTTCGTAAACGACTCCACATTTAAGTCCAGCTGGTATTTTGTCTTTTCGGTGTACTAGTCTGTTTCTAACTGTTGTGTATGGTGGTTTTGTTGGTGTGTTTATGTTGTGTTTTTTCATTGTTGCTCTTATTTTTTTCTGTTATGCCTTTGATGTATGGTAAGGTTATCACTGGTTTTGGTTCTTGTCTTTCTGGGTTCTGCTGCCCGCGGATAAACGGAGTAGGAAGTGACGCCACCATCAGCGTCAGCTCTGAGGATATTTTGCAGACGGCAAACGAAACGTTAGCAAAGTAAAGAAAACCCTTTCTTGTGTTTTAAAATTAACCAAAAATGGAATTAGAAACTAAACAGTAAGAACACACCAAAGAAGCAGGTTGGTGTTTGCTAAGCTCTGCACACATTGTAATTTACTCTCTGTGTGAAAACATAACACAGTCCTCTGCAGTAAAGAGGCTGCATGCTTGAGTTGTAATCCATTTGGTGACATGCTAATAAAAAGGTGGTAAAGGGAACTTACTAAAGCAAATACTGGAGCTAAAAGCTGCTTTATTTGCCAACCAGGACTAACCGAGAACTTGAGCAAAAGTCCCAGTTGTGACTGAGTTGTTTCAATCAAGAAAATTCCACTGAAAAACCCAAAGCGTCATAATGTGCATATATAGGAATAGCAGTATAGCTAGTAGCTTGTGGGCATTTTATTTAAAGTGTTGTGAAAGTATGAACTTCACTCTTCATTATCACCCTTTTATAGTTTTTTTTTTTGAGGTGGTGTAAAAAGACTTTGGTGGTTGGCTCATCTTGTTATTGTTATGCAAGCACAGAGATAGATCTCCCTGCTCCAGCACCTGTGGGCCAGTCGGACCAGTTTTTACTGTCATAACAGAACCACTCTCATTGCTTCTTTACCAGGACATTCAGTTTTGGTTAAAAAGAGAGAGAGAAAGTTTTAAAAGTGATGCAAAAAATGAATTTATGTTAGAAAGCAAAGAGTGGACAGAATAATGGAGTAGATCAGGGTTTCTCAACGGGGGCTGTAGCGCCCCCCCAGTGGGCGTTCAGACTATATAAGGGGGCGGTGAACGTTTTTTGCCACTGAAGGGGGCGCTGAGATGCTAATGGTGAGCGCTAGCGATACAGGACATTCATAACAGACAATGGCTCAGAATAAAAAGAAGTGTTGACAGTACAATGTGGACTACCTTCGGTATGGATGTATTCCTTCACCCACGAATCCACAACTCCCCATGTGCCTGCTTTGTGAACAAGTTTTTTCTAACGAAGCAATGAAACCCTCCCGGCTTAAGGAGCACTTGTCCAAATTGCATCCAGTCAAAGCTCCAAAGGAACTGAACTATTTTCAGGTAATTAAAGAGAGACACTCTAAATGAGGTAGCATTAGCAGTATGTTTGCTTGAATTTACTGGACCGAGGATTATTGGCTTCCTACATTATCTCGTTGCTAATAGCTAAAAACATTTTTTATGATACTTTTTATGACATATTTGTATTAAACAGTTTCAAACTCAAGGCTGAATTTAAAAAAAAAAAAGAAATTTTATTATGATTTTTGTATCAAAAAACTTTCCGTTTCTCTTTCATTGGTGGGCAGTAAGGGATTTCAGCATGACTTGGGGGGGGGGGGGGGGGGGGGGGGGGGCGTTTAGCTGAAAATGGTTGAGAAACCCTGGAGTAAATAAATCAGAAGAAACTGCCATTTCCCTTAATAACCTAACTTGAAATATTCAAACCGTACATTTATCATTTTCTGATGTGCAAAAGATGTTGTTTAGGTTATGCTCTGTTTATGTTGAGTGAAACATTACGTAGAGTGGAAAATTTTTTAGCAAATACACTGCATGGCCAAAATAAAGTCACCACCTGGATCTAACTAAGCAAACAGGTAGGAGCCTCATATTGAAAAATTACTGCATGGGCAATTATCTTTCAGCTGGCAACAAGTTATTTAACCCAAACTGGTGCAATAAGTTGCTTCTCATTTCTTAAACAACCATGTGGAAAGACACATGTGGTGGTTGTGGAAAAGATGTTAGTCTGTTTGAGAAGGGTCAGATCGTTGGCATGCATCAAGCAGAGAAAACATCTAAGGAGAATGCAGAAACAACTAAAATTGCATTGTTAAAAACTGGCCTGATAAGTCCAGATGGACCCTGGAGTGATGGTGCATCAGGGTAAGAAGAGAGGCCAGAGGAGGTGATGCAGCCATCATGCCTAGTGCCTGTGGGGGCAGAGCCATGATCTGGGGTTGCTGCAGTTGGTCAGGTTTAGGTTCAGCAACATGATGTGCTCCAAGAATGAGGTCAGCTGACTACCTCAATATACTGAATGACCAGATTATTGTGTCTTCCCTGATGGCATGGGTGTAATCCAAGATGACAATGCCAGGATTCATCAGGCGTAAACAGTGAAAGAGTGGTTCAAGGAGCATGTGACATCATTTTCACACATGGAGAAGACTTTGTTCAGCGGTCAGACTCTACCATCATCAATGTAAGATCTCGGTGAAACATTAATGCAATGCTGGATAGAAATAAATCTGGTGACATTGCAGAAGCTTATTGAAACAATGCCACAGTGAATGTGTGCTGTAATCAAAGCTAAAGATGGTCTAACTAAATTTTAGAGTGTGTGACCTTTATTTGGGGGAGGAGACTGTTTTTTGGCCAGGCAGTGTGTTAGCAATGGGGGTTAAAAGCATGCAGGGACTACCACAACCTTTGCCTGAAAAATAAAAACTTTGATTTAGTGTGAGATCATTCTCACATTTTTCATAACACAGCCCAACCCGGCCTGTCCCACTTCCCACATCAGCTTGTAGGTGTTAAGACCACGAACAAAGCTGCTCAACCAGAAAGTAAACAAAACTTGCTGCTGTCAAGGAGGGGAAGCAGGACAAAGAGGCAGCTACATTCGCCTCTTTTTTCCTCCTGTAACATTTAGTTTTCATTTAGAGCCGCAAGTCTCTTTAATGAGCAGATATATTCATAATAACTCCAATACTTCAATGCAAGTCTATACAGAGAATATTATTGGATGTGATAATTGGTTTCTCTAGATTCACCATTTCAAAATGTTCATCATTCTTTAAAGTTGTAAAAGATTATTGCACTTAGTCTAAGCTAATAGTAACTGTTTTGTTTCTGTAGTAAACAAAACCCTACAAAGAAAATTAAAAGAAAAACAATAAAAGGTTTATTAGTACTAGTTGTACTAATAATATTATGCAAACAGTTCTTTTTTTTCCATCAAACTTGAAGTTTGACTGAAGTCCTTATGTGTACTCAAGCTGTTTATTCAAGGCTGCACATTAACTACCATTGTACATTCACTGAAGCAAAGCACAAATACTCAAGTCAAGTTCATGTTACGGGTTGGCTTGGCTTTCTCAGCTGTTGAGTTTTTATTGAAGGAAACAAAAAAAACATAACCTGATGTCACCTGCAAGAAAGATTAACCTGGTTCCAAGATAATAAGACTTTTTAAAGTCACTTTTTAAAGCTAACTTTCCAAAAACAATGAAAACTGGAATCTTTTGTGTGGTACGGCTTAAACTCCAACTGCTAGATGGAAGCAGTTTTTAACTACTTCATTCTGACAGAACAAGAAAGTTTTTTTTTTTTTTTTTTGGTGAAATGTAGATCCCTCTATTTTTTGTTGAGATAGCTCAGAAAAGAAGCATGTAACAGTTTGGACTGTTAATTGTGAGTTTTGTTATTTGATTAAATTCAGTCTTAAAAACTGCAAAT